GCTTTTACCATCCAGCCAGTTATCCTTCCAGAATAAGGTATTGGCCCCATCTCCTACCTCAGTGACCACAGCCATCATCAGGAGACATTCAACTTCTTTGCTAGTCTGGAGAGGCAAACTGGCCCAAGGTTTGTGAGGTTCAGTTTTCCTAAGCCAAGGCCATCTTACCCGCAGTGCAACTCCAAGTGCTTTCAGATCAGAGATTCCCAATCCTCCAAGCTCCTTTGAACGGTACACCTTAGGCCAAGCAATAAGACAGTGCCCACCATTTGCTTCTTTACGACCACGCCATATAAAGGCTCTTCTAATCTTGTCAATTGCTTTAATTGCCCATGGGGGCAGGTCAATTGCCATGGCCAAGTAAACCATCATAGCAGTGAGGACATGTTGGACCATCACAACCCTTCCAGCCCGAGTCATCAAGTCAGCTTTCCAACCAGGTAGTTGATCCGCAATTCTGTCAAATTGACCCCTGGTTAACTTCCTTGTTGAGAGAGGCAATCCAAGGCACCTGCATGGGAACTCTAGCACTTCACACGGCAGCAGGTTCTGTACCAGGCTCATATTCTCTTCAGAGCAGTGAATTGGCAGAACATTGCTTTTCTGCACATTGGTCTTAAGCCCCGAAGCATCTCCAAATAAGTCAAGGATTCTCAAAGATAATGAAATATCTGCTGCTGCCGGCCTGAGAAAGAGTGCTACATCATCAGCATATAGTGAGATTCTGTGTTGGAGAGGTCTTCGGGATAATGGCTGAAATAATTCAGCCTCTGATGCTCTAGTAATCATCCAGTTCAAGACATCCATGACAAGTATAAAGAGCATTGGAGATAGGGGATCTCCCTGCCGAAGTCCTCTCCTGTGATGTATAACCTTTCCAGGGGTTCCATTAAGGAGGACTTGAGTGGATGATGAAGTCAACAGCCCACATAAAAGATCCCTCCATCTTGAGCCAAACCCCAGTTGGCCAAGCACCTCCATTAGGAATGGCCAAGAGACGGAATCAAATGCCTTTGTGATATCCAACTTGAGGAGAATGCTAGGCTGTTTTTGAGAATGCAAGAATCTTACTGTCTGTTGCACCAACATGAAATTATCCTGGATAAACCTTCTCTTGACGAAGGCACTCTGGTTGGGGGAGACCATTGCATCCAAGTGGCCAGCCAATCTGTTGGCCAAGATTTTGGTCACAAGTTTGGCAAAGCTGTGCACAAGGCTAATGGGCCTGAAATCCTTTACCTGATCAGCCTCTGCTCTTTTTGGAATCAAAGAAATATAAGCAGAGTTTAGCATGCACAAGTTTCTGAAGTTTTTTCCCCATATAGAATGCAGGACAGCCATTATATCTTCCTTAATGATTGGCCAGCAGCTTTTGTAGAATCTCCCTGTGAATCCATCCGGGCCTGGGGCCTTATCAGACGGCAAATTTTTAATGGTGTTCCAAACTTCCTCCTCCGTGAAAGGAATGTCTAGGGCCTCGAGATCATGTCTAGGGATGTTCAGGGCATCTAGGTTGATGGTTCTGACTCGGTCATTATCAGAACCAATTAGATTAGAGTAAAACTCAAAAATTGCAGAAGCTTTCTCCTCATGGGTTGTGATGGTCCTGTCCCCCTCCCTCAACTTTGCAATGAATTTTTTTCTCTTTCGGTAACATGCATGCATATGGAAAAGCTTTGTATTTGCATCCCCATCTCGAAGCCAGCCCATTCTCGATCTCAGTAAGGAAGAAAGGGCAAGCGCATGCTTCTTGAGGTTGTTGCGCAACCAGAGTTCGTTGGGTTGAAGCACTCGGTTGTCCTGTGCAATTTCAAGTTGGTGAATGATTTCCTTTGCAAGAGCAAGCTGAGATCTAATATGCCCCACCTTCTTTTGACTCCAGCTCTGTAGTTTTCTTGTTGTTGCCTTCAATTTCAATGAGAGTGTCTCCACAGGGCAGCTGCAAGGTGGGACAGATCCCCATGCAGATTCCACTGTATCCAGAAAACCATCAAGAGAAGGCCAGAAGTCTTCAAAATGGAACCGTCCTCTGCTGGGGGGATTATCCATCAATCCGAAAATGAGAGGACAGTGATCTGAGTCATCTGAGGAAGAGCTCTGTAGAAGACAATCAGGGAATAATTCCTCCCATTCCAAAGAGCAGAAAACACGATCAAGCCTCACTAAAGTGGGAGAAGCACTGGATGATGAACTTGACCAAGTGAATTTACGACCATGTAGGGGGATCTCTGTCAGTGCCATATCATTAATCCATCTCCTAAACCTTCCCATCATTGCTCGATTTAGGTTTGAGTTGTTTTTATCTTCATCTTTGCAGATGAGGTTAAAATCTCCTGCCACCATCCAGGGTCCTACACACTGAGCACGCACTTCGCGGAGTTCCTGTAAGAATTGAATCTTTTCCTGGTTGTCCTGAGGGCCATAAACACATGTGAGCCACCAAGTATTACCATTAACAGGGCAAAATTGGATTGAAACACAGTGAGAATCCAGCCTGCTAGCTCCAATTGTACCCAGACGACTTCTCCAAGCAATAAGAATTCCTCCACTAGCACCCACTGACGGCAGGGATACAAAGTTGTTGTCAAAATCACTGCCTAGCATCGATAGAACTACCTGTCTATTTATAGAAGTCATTTTTGTTTCCTGGAGGCATACAACATCAATCTTAGCAGAATCCACCAACACACTCACTGAATCTCGTCGGGCTGCTGAATTAAGCCCTCTAACATTCCAAATAAGGATATGGGAAGGATCCATAAGACTAGAAGAGTGGCGACCAAAAGGAACTCGTCCAAATCAGACCCTACATTCGACAAGTTTGCCTAACGCATCGTCGTCCGGATGAGCCCAACCAAAGAGGGCTGCCAAAGCTCTAGAGTGTGACGATGGTAGCGGATGCCAAAACCGCTGAGCATAATCCTCCAGGACCTTTTGATCAAATTGTTCTCTGTCAAGTTGCACGTCCATGTCCAAAGCACGCATCACCTTCTTCTTTAGGTATGGGGGGCAAACCTCCTGTCTTTCCACTCCCATTCCAGCAATTCGGCGGCTTCGACGCGGCGCCTCACTGGGTGGCAGCAACATGTTCTTCCTCCTCTTGTTGATGTGAAAAACTTGATTAATTGCCATACTGTAATGTAGAAAAACTTGATTAATTGCCATACTGTAATCTACATTCAATACATTTTATTCTTTGAATGGCGATGAAATACTTAATACTCCCTTCAGCCACAAGTGTCGTGTACTTGTGTTGAAGATGCATGGGCTAAAAAATATTACGCTGATGACCTATTTCTATTATAATATATTTGTACCTGATAAAAATATAATATAATTTAAGTGTCTTAGACAAATCTGGGCATGCCATTTTCTATTGGCCATCTAACTACCCATAAAGAAGTTACTGGTCAAAGTAAAATATATGTCTCCATGTACTAGGAGGGCACCTGTTTCAACTGGTGGGAGCAATAAATTGCCGATGATGACAAGCTTATACAAATAAACCCTTGCATTTGGTATTCTGATTGCATTACATAGTGTACAACTGTACAACCCTGTTCCCTGTAGAGAAAACCCATAGTTTAGCACCCACTAGATCACAGTTTATATGTCTTAAAGCTCGTTTCATGATACCTTTTGTTTCCCAGTTCCTACATAGAAACACTTGCTGTGCACCTGATCTTAGTGGGTGCTGAGGCAAACTGAATGCTTGATATGGCTGGATTGGCGAGTAGCAATAGATGGGAATGGCAATGATAAACTGAACTTGTCCTCCCTCCGGAGGCTCTGAGTTTCTTTGGTTTATTGTTGTTTAATCTCAATTGTTCTGTCTGTCTTATACATATAGAGCTGACCCTAACAAGTAACAAACTTGCTAACAAAATGCTAACCAAATCAATCCAAAACAAAATCTTGAAACAAACTCTGAACAAACTCTCCTAGCTACTAGTGGAGGCCCGATCCTTCTTGCGCTGGTACTTCTTCCCGCAACATGCTACTTAGCCTTTCATTATTTCCTGTAGCGTTTGTTTGGCGAGTAGCAATAGATAGGAATGGCAATGATAAACTGAACTTGTCCTCCCTCTGGAGGCTCTGAGTTTCTTTGGTTTATTGTTTATTTAATCTCAATTGTTCTGTCTGTCTTATACATATAGAGCTGACCCTGTTGGTCCCTTGACTCCCTGCACAGATGAGCAATCAGCTCACCCAGCTCACTCACACACACTACGGCTAGAGGTAGAAGAAAGGGCTTGAGCACAGCACACACAGAGCCGAGCAGCAGCTTTGCAGCTCTGAAACTGGCTTCAGCTGAACTGAATTTTGCATTGCACTTGGGTGTAGTATATATACAACGACATGTACCTCTATCAGGTACAATAAGGTATGGTGAGTACATCAACTACCTACTCTAAGGTACTCTAAGGTATAAGACTTAGCTCAGCCATACTCTACACTACATGGCTGATGCAAGCCACTACAACTAAGGCCTATTGCCTTACTGCTACAGCAGCAGCAGCGAGTGGACAGCCAGGGCTGACCAGCTCCATCTAATCTGCAGCAAAGAGAGATTTGGGGAGCAGCAGATTATGTCTTACAGACCCTAACAAGTAACAAACTTGCTAACAAAATGCTAACCAAATCAATCCAAAACAAAATCTTGAAACAAACTCTGAACAAACTCTCCTAGCCACTAGTGGACGCCCGATCCTTCTTGCGCTGGTACTTCTTCCCCGAGAAGGCGTCCACAACATGCTACTTCGCCTTTCATTATTATCTGTAGCGTTTGTTTCATGCTAATAACTTGACAGTTGGATGCATTGGTAATCATTTTATTGCAGCCTGATGTTGATGTCCCTAGGCTGCTCACATCGTGCATTTCATTTCTTGAAATGGAAACATGAAACTTGCTCCATGTCACATTCTATGTTTAATTATGTTATCATTTTGTTGTATGAAGCTGGTGAATGACCCTGATATCTACTTTTGACCATGTATAGGTCCGTGTGGAGGCAGCTTTAACATTGCGTGCTTTAGCAGAGGTTGATCCTACTTGTGTAGGTGGTTTAGTTTCATATGGTCTTACAACATTGCAAGCTCTTAGAGAGACTGTATCATTTGATAAGGTATATTACTTCCTATCAGTGACATGACTATCCCTATCATGGTTAATGTCTACTTTGGTAAATCTTTTCTGTGTTGAAGCTTGTATTGGGGATATATCGAGGTGCAACATGATTGGATATATTTTGCAGAATTTATTAAATTACTCATGGATCTTAAAATGGCCGAAGTTAATCACTGCTAGTCAGTGGCTGAGCTTGGCTAGAATTACAGAGGGGATCAAACTAAATTAAACATTCTTTGTTTACATATTTTTTGTCAAGTGGTTTTATTTGCTTTCTTAAGAAATTGGGAGGGTACATAGCCCCTTTTGGCCTAACTTATGCTTCGCCCCTGATGCTAGAACAACCTTTTGCAGTTGAAGCTAGAAGAGTTAAAATTCTTACCAACTGCATCTCTTATGGTGCTTTACAATCATGTGTGTTGTCTCCAGAATAGGAAAATCAGTGCACGATATGTACTGTCCATACAGAAGTACCACCCAAACTGTGTACAGTAGTGGCGGTGGGTGTATGTGAACTACCATTGTATTTTTATTTTTCTTCCTAATGTAATGATGTGCAGGTCTTCTGCATATTCAAGGAAAAAAAACTGTGTGCAGTACATGCAGAAATGATAGACAGGATCTTGTACTGTGAAAAAATTGGAATTTGGCGCTCATGGCAAGTGGGTTTCGCCCGAATACCATCAAAGTTGTGGGCTTTGCTCCAATGCCCGTATGAAAGGAGTCCCTCTAAAATGCCATAATCAAGATTCCAGCACTGAAGGGCGGGCCTGGTGCAAGCGGTAGAGTCTTACCGCCTATGACCGGAAGGTCCCGGGTTCGAGTCGCGGTCTCCTCGCATTGCACAGGCGAGGGTAAGGCTTGCCACTGACACTCTTCCCTAGACCCCGCACAGAGCGGGAGCTCTCTGCACTGGGTACGCCGAGATTCCAGCACTCCTTTATTTTTTTCATCCAAATAACAGGTCCTGGAATGACGTTTTTGCCCCTGTGATGTTTTACATTCACCTCATCTCTCATCTGTTCATGCCGTTTGTGTGGTTTGTGCCCGTTCCGTCCGTGTATGAGGCTCTCGACGACCTGATGCCGGTGCCACCGCTCCAATCATCGATGGCCCAAACCCGCTCTGGACACCCGGACCAAGTTTCGTCCGCCCCAAGGCCCTAACCGGCCCCAAGTTCCATACCGAACGAGACGAATGACACGGACATGTGAGACGGGGATGAAGGTAAAATCACAAGGGCAAAAATGACAATCTAATTTATTTGGATGAAAATAATTAATTAAGATTAAGAGTGCTGAAATATCAAAATGGCATTTCAGAGACTCATTTCATAAGGGTATTTGGGCGAAGCCTACAACTTTGATGGCATTCGGGCGAAGCCTACCTGCCATGAGGGCAAACTTCCAATTTTCTCCTTGGACTGTTGTCTCGGTTTATCCCTTCCCCAGACCCCACTCATGTGGGAGCCTCCGGCACTGGGTCTGCCCTTTTTTTTACTGTTGTCTTGCTCTCAGGTTACTCCGTTGGAGGTCATTGCAAAAGTTCATTGGCCTAGTTCTGTACTTACAATTCCTATGTGGATGAACTGGCACTAGCTGTGTAGCATGTTGTTCAGTGCTTAATTGGTGGCATTGTCAATGGCTTTAGCTTAATCTTTCATATCAATTGTTTGCCCTCTTCTTGCTGTATTTACTATAACATTTTTCATACAGTTTGCTTTAACCTTTACCTGCTTGACAAATTTGGTTGTAATAACAGGGCAAAAGTTTGAACCTTGAGCTCGACTCACTACATGGACAGGCCACTGTGTTAGCTGCTCTTGTTGCAATATCGCCAAAGTTGCTTCTTGGTTATCCTGCGAGGTTCACCTCACTATACTTCAACATGCTTTCCTTGTTGTTTATCCCTATTAATAAATTTTAAACATTTCCATCCCATAAACTTGAAACATTTGCATTCCAGACATGGCTACAATCTAATCTGACATCTTGGATACTTCCAGAGTTTGCGAAATTCTAAGAAAATTTATTAAAATGATGCTGGCAGCCTAGCAGAACCAGTCAAAGATAGAATTTGCACATACTCGAAAATATATGTTTGGCCAAATATTATATCCCAGAATCATGTACTCCTGGCTCATTTTGCATGTTGAATATTATGCAGGCTGCCCAAGTCTGTACTTGAATTATCCAAAAAAATGCTGAATGGTTTCAGTCGAAATCCAGTGGCTGCTATTGCAGAGCGTGAAGCCGGTTGGTTGCTTTTAGCTTCTCTTCTAGCATCCATGCCAAAAGAGGTATTAGGGATACTTTGTAATATGTAAAATAGGTATAGATATTTGATAGCGATGGGAGTGATGGGTCTTTCTTTTATACATGACCATGTATGCAGGAGCTGGAAGACCAGGTGTTTGATGTTCTTTTGCTATGGGCTGGTCCTTTTACTGGAAATCCTGAATCTTACCTTCGTCATATACAGGATTGGGCATCAGAATTGCGGTGAGTTTTATTGAGTGCATGCGGACTGCACGAGCACCATTGTATGTTTTTGCTCTACTAATCAATGTTTTCAAGTTGTCCAGTCGAACCTAGTCGCCATGGGACCGACCAGGAGACTAATCACGATTAGTCGTCGACCAGGCCGATTAGTCGAGCCTAGTCGACCCCTGGTCGTCCTATATATCAGGACATATATACCTATATATACTTTATAGTATACACAATAAAGCAAGCATCAAGACTACATTAGTGCTTAGTTGGTGACTTACTTGTGGGAGTTGTTTTCTTCTCTTTTCTGCCATGCCCAGAGGTCCATATTCCTGTCCCAAACTCCATTTCTTTGCTGACTTGCTGCTGGAAGCCTAAAATACCAAAGAAGACCATAATTAGCAACACTAATGTAGTCTTGATCTTGACACGACTCAACAAAGAAGATCTTTGCATTAGCAAGCACCTTCTTTGCAGTAGCAAATAACTAGCATTTAGCAGCTTAGCACATAGCGAGACCATAGCAGCCACACGTACCAAAGATATTACATAACCAAACAAGTTCAAGACACATAAGCTAAAGTGTTCAACACAGTCACAAACATTGACATTTAACAGTCCAACAAAAGTAGGCAACTAGCCATCTAATTAAGCAAATCAACATTAAAATTGAAGCCTCCATCTCCATCTCCAGTTGGTCCATCTCCGATTTGATTTGGTGCAGATTCTTCATCCTCCATTGCTATTGTTTGAATCTACATGTTGATCTTGGTCTTCATCATCAACTTCATCAATATCTTGAGTCATCATGTTCCTTGGGCGCTTCTGCTCCTAGCATAAGTATCGCCTCACAAGGCGTGAATGCAAAGACGAGTAGCAGTAGCCCTAGGCAAGTTACGTCCCTCTAGACCCTGAGTTGCACCAATAGCCTCATCCACAACAGCCCAAGTCATAGCATCGCCACCACCTTCCTGTGGTTCTGGTTCACAATTTTCATTGATCCATTCATTTTCCCAATGAAATTCATCAAGCAATAGTGGATTGCATCTCTTTCCTTTGGAACCTAGCTCTCTAATTTTTTTAAATCTGTTTTCCATCTTGCCTGGTGTAGTGGTGAGAGCTGTCTCACTGAGTCACCAGGTCACGGGTTCGAAGCAGCCTCTCCGCAGATTTTGCGGGGGGAAGGCTTGCCTCGGTTTTTCCCGGTTTCTCTTTTTTGTATGGACCTACACAAAATATAATGCAGAATCACATATCAATATTACTACCATACTTAATTACTCAGCAGTAGTACACTAGCACTTACAGCAGAAAATTCACTCCAACTACGCTCACATCCAGATGCAGCGCAACAAAGGCTAACAATCCTTTTTGCTAAACATTCTAACCCTAACAGGCCAAACTGCAAGCCCAGTAGCTCACATGTCCGCTCAGTTAAACAGGCCCAAAAACAGAGTAACCAAACTTGTCGTCCCTGTCCTAGTCGGACGACTAATCGCGATTTCTCGTCGACTAATCGGACGACCAGCTTTCTGGTCGAGCTAATCGAGTCGGACCTCCTAATCGAACACCAGGGACTGATTAGGACGAGTAATCGGACGACTTGAAAACATTGCTACTAATTCATAGGGTATTAGCCCTCATTTTTTTCTTGAGCAATATCATTTTTTATCTTCTTGGATGCCCATACTAATGATCTAGTTCCTTGATGCTACTTTGTTTTACCCCTATAGTACATAATCAGCTTAAATATTAGGCAGTTGCACAAGGCAAATAGAATGATCACACAAGACAAAATTGCATTGGACAGCATCATATATGGTTCATTCCAACAATTTTACTTTTTGTCCAATTGATGGTATTCACTAATGTTTAGTGTATATATATATATATATATATATATATATATATATATATATATATATATATATCTGCTGCAGGGTTCTGTCAGTTGCAATTGAGGCGCTTACTGCCTTCATAAGAAGTTTTGTTTATCCAGTTATCACAACTGCTGATGGTGGAATCTTGCTTAATCCTGTACTGGCCTACCTCGGCGGGTGCGTAAACATTTACTGATGCATTTCTATTCTGATGTGTATCATTTATGGTGCTTAATTCTGAAACTATATCGTTCAGAGCTCTATCCCTCATATCTTCGTTGAGATCTAAACAAGTGCCCAATGTAAGGTCTGCGCTGGACCTACTCACAACTAGAACATTGATGGCATATCGGTCCCTTTCGAATCCAGTGGTATATAAAACCGAGCACCAGCAGATGCTTCAGCTATGCTCAAGTCCATTCAGGTTTGTGCACCTCTTTGATTGCACTGCTATTGTCTTTAGACTTGACACAATATTATGCTTTGACATGTTGAAATTATTAAATATATTGAATACTACACCTTTTTACCGTCAATAAATTTCGAAACCCTCTTGTGATTACTTTGAAAAACAATTCTATAGTCTAGGCCACTGAACTTGTTTTTGTGCAATCCAGATGCCTAGTCTTGTTACTTTTGAGTCTGCCTACTACTCAGAAACTGTAGTTAGGTCCATTGATGACATGATTACAAATTTGTGAAACCTGGACTTTTAGTTAAAACTTGACATCATTAAGAATGATTGCCAATATTATATGAGGAAACTCTTGCTGAAATAGCAAGATCCTAGTTTTCTTCCTGAAGGAAGCATGAAATTTTGAAATTTCATTCAATCACTGGCATTGGTACACACAAGAAAGTGCACTTGCAACTACAAAAGAACCACCAAAGGGCAACCAAACTCCTGCCTGTGTGACATGCTATCTACTTACTCGAGGATGTGGTAAACTTCTAGTGGTGCTAGCAGGCTATGCATAAATCACTCGTGTGTTGCTGTTGTAACTTCCATTGATGATTTTGATGAACAAGACATAATATTTGAGATTTGCTTGCCCTCTAAAATGCCAAGATGATTGAATGTTAAAACCTATTTGAAAATGTTTTAGAATGCATCACACAGTTTTAGAACACACTGCACATGATCACTAGCATGGTTCATCCAGACATTCAAGGGTGATGCTGTGGCCAACGAGAGTAAAAGGGCCACAAAGCTGCTTTCGCAAACTCGCAATCCCCATCCCTGTTGCTGCTGAAGGCCAGGCCTTTGCTGAAGCGCGGGGTTTTGCTGGCATATCTGCTGGATCACTACATGATGTGTTGACCTGCACTGGGCAATGCTGGAAGGAGGCCAGGTGGCACTGGGAGGGAAGTAAGGAGGTGCGGGATGCGGAACTGCAGATCGGTGGTGGAGCTGACTTGTCATTCCGTGTGGCTCTAGGAAGCTCCAGGCTTTAGGCTTACCATTTACTCGAATGCCTTGGGCCAGGTGGGCTGATGGCAAGGCTCATAATTCAAGGAGGCTCGCTTTGGCACTACAGCCAGCATGCAGTCATCCACAGCAGCAGCCAATTATGTGTCTGATATCCCTTGTACAGATGCAGCTGCAGCAGTATGGATTTCCCTCTATGGCGTCGCTCTGGCATCTGTCACATAGGTTGGGCATCTAGGTTGTGCCCAGGTGCTGCATCTCACATTACTGCCTTAACAACTGTTAGCAGTAGCTCACTTGTATTCCAGCGCAATGTACAAGAAGTGTCAATATATGCAAAGAAACCCTGTACAGTGGATAAATTACTACCCAGTACACATATATCTAATGACAAGCATGATTACTATCATATTTGATGGAATTGCATGTAAGTTGTATCTATTCACAAACTTAATATGCATGTAAAATTGTGATTAGTTGTATTGCACTTGCACGCTTACTAATTGCATCTTTGTGTTTGAATTACCAATCTGCATGATTGCTTCTTTTGATAGATCTTTTTCATGAGTGCAACTTTTTCATGAGTTTAATCTTTAGAAATTTCCAGCTACTATAACTTCCTCATCCCACTCTGGAATGTTGTATTATCTGCCTTTTCTTCTGTGTACTTAAAATGATGGTCGATGTAATTAGTGATCCTTCTGGATGGGAAGAAAGCTCATGCTTGAAGTTTTTGTTGGATAAGAGAGATGCTTCGCTGGGTCCATGGATACCTGGAAGGTATTTGTCAAATATGATTTATTTTGTTTTTCTCTAACTGGCAGGAGAGCTGCCTGTCATTAGATTAAGAAGGAAAACAATACAAAAATTCTCTGGACTTCTTTTGTATTTTTTGATGGAGTTTTGGCTACAGGGATTCATTTGAGGATGAATTACGTGCTTTTGATGGTGGTGCTGACGGGTTTCTACCGTGTGTGTGGGATGATGAAATCAGCAACTTCCCTCAGGTAGCTGTCTTCTTATATTTAGCCCGAGAAGCAGTACCCTCACCCCTGGCCAATTCTGAACTAGCGTGAACGGGTTCTAGAACAAGCTATTTAGCCTTAGTGACTAAGACTGTTGTTGTGCATGTTAGGTTTTTTCCTCATAAGTTTTCCCTTCTCTAAATTGCACTTCAAACCCCCTTCAGAATCGCAAAATGGGAGTACAGTACCATTCTGAAAAAGAACAGTATTATTTTCTTAACTGCATTTTTCTTGCAAGAGCATAGTAAGCCAAAATTGACTTGCTAATACTGCAAAGAAGTATGGTGGTTAGAAAACAACATCCTCTCTTAGGATGACAAGCGAGCCCTAGGAATATTTTTCATTTTCATAGATATTGTATTATTCCAACTTGCACAATCTTTGTGTTGTTAATTGGAATTTTGATTAACTGTTAGTGCCATTTAGTATAGTTAAACTATTGTTATGCTTCCATGTGACTTTTGCTAGTCAGGTGCAGATTCTGAATAATATATGGTTCTTTTTCTTATATGAAGCCAGAGTCAATTCGCAAAATGCTTGTCAACCAGATGCTTCTCTGTTATGGTTCCATATTTGCATGTCAGGTGCAATCTTAACTTCTGGGATCCACTCATGTTTTTATTAGAAGATTATCCCTCTACTGGATAGTTTTCTACAATTATATTTTAACACATCTATTAACAGGAAAACACTGTCAAGATAAGCCTCTTGAACAATCTTGACCAGTGCCTGAAGTCTGGGAAGAAGTACCTGTGGTTTAAGTTTCTCGTTACAAATGCATGTGTTGCTCTATTGTCAGGGTTAAAGGTATTTATCACATTTTTATGTATTCTGACCTCTAACAATATCATCTATTCCCTTAGTTACTAATATTGTACATGCTATGTTCCAGGAATTCCTCACTTTACGTGGTGCTAAATCATTGCCAATTGATATATTAAGTATGATCCAGTCCATATTCAAGGTAATGCGATACACAATATTTGACAGCTTATAATTTCGATTCCTACCGCCCATCTTCAAATTTAACATGGTTGTTGCTTTAGGCCATTTTAGTAGAGCCTGAAATTTCTACAGCACAGCGACGAGCAGCATGCGAGGGTCTCGGTTTATTAGCACGAGTTGGGAATGATATCTTTACAGCAAGGATGGTTTGTTCCTTTATTTTGTTTTCATATTTTTTTAGATTATTTTAAGTGTTAACATTTAATTCCCTTACATATCCATCTCTCTGGTACGATACACAACATTGATCTTTTACTTTTGAATTTTGTTCTCAAGATTGAAGATTCCATAAAAAACCATGTTCTGTTTGCCTGTTTTCTAGTTTGATTGCTGGTTACTACTATCTCAATTCTCAACAAGTGATTTTGTTAAGTACTTTTCATCCATAGTGTCATGTTTTGAGTGCTGTTTCGATGTCTAATTTATATATTTTTGTTAGAATTGTGTATCCATTCTCATGCTAACCCTAGAAGGGTAGCAATGTATATTGGTCATACATGGGCCTCATGGGCCTAATACACTCATACTCTCATACTCCAACACCCCCCCGCAGTCTGAACTACCGGCGCAGCGGAGTTACAGACTGGACATGAAAAGAAGCACACACACACGATCCCCCCACAGACGCAATTAGCCACCAATGATGTTGAGGCTGGAGCGAAACTCGGTGAAGGTCGATGACGGGAGGCCCTTGGTGAAGATGTCGGCAAACTGGGAGGTGGTCGGGACGTGGAGGACCCGAACATCGCCGATGGCAACCCGATCACGGACAAAGTGTAGGTCGATCTCCACATGCTTGGTCCGTTGGTGCTTTGCCTGGTTGGTGGAGAGGTACACCGCAGACCGACGTTGTCACACAGAGAGACCAGCGTGCTCGGGAGAGGGGCATGGAGCTCGGCAAGGAGCCTGTCGGAGCCGGAGGCCTCAACACGCCCGTTAGCGACATTTCGGTACTCCGCCTCAAGATCGGATCGGAGACCACCATTTGGCGCTTGGGCGACCAGGGACACCAGTTGCCGCCAGAAAAACAACAGAGTCGGAGGTAGAGCGCCGAGTGTCCGGACACCCGGCCCGGTCGGCGTCGGTGTAGGCACGACGAGCTCGGTGGAGGAAGACCACCAAGGAGTAAGCCAGTAGTCGATCGAGGCTGCGGAGGTAGTGGAGGAGGCGCTTGAGCGCAGTGAGGTGAGGCTCATGGGGATCATGCATGTGAAGGCATCTCTCTGTTTGCATCTTGCATAGGTGATGTCTCTGCCCGGTGAAGGTGAGGTATCAAGGGCACCTGCAAGACTCCGATGGCGATGGGGTCGCCACGGCGGTTCCCACGACCTCGACGGCTTGCCCTGTGTGTCAACTGGAGTAGAGCGAGGGCTTGCGATTAGTCATCCCAAAGACGCTCGGGATATCAAGAGTGTACTGCGCCACCGGTGAAGGAGAAGGCGGTGGGGCGAGGCTCAACAAAGACCCCGAGGAAGTGGTGGAGCACACCAAGATCCTTCATAGCAAACTCCTGAGAAGAGAGGCGATGACACGGTGAGTAGTAAGGACGGACCGAGGTCGGAGGACAATATCATCAACGTGAAGCGGCGATAGGCGCCTCGGCTCCATGGTGATAGATAAACAGGGGCGATCGACTTGGCCTCCACAAACCCCAAAGGTCGGCAGAAAAAGCAAAGAAACCGAGAATACCACGCCTGGGCCCGCTTGAGCCCGTAGAGAGACTTGTTGAGCCGCAGACCATGTCCGGACGAGAAGAGTCAACAAACCCCGCTGGCTGGCTGCAGTAGACCGTCTCGGTGAGAGTCCCGTGGAGAAAGGCATTTTTGACGTCCAGCTGATGCACGGGCCAAGAGCGACTGAGAGCCAGGGAGAGCACTGTGCGTACGGTGGCCGGCTTCACCACGGGGCTGAAAGTCTCATCATAATCAACTCTGTATACCGAGTGAAACCCCGAGAACCCAAATGAGCCTTGTACCTCTCAAGGGAACCATCACCGCCGCTTGTGTGTCCGAGATCCACTTCCGGTGACGACGTTGGATCCGGGTGGACGGGCACCGGATCCCATGTCCGGTTGGCGAGGAGAGCCGCGTATTCCTCTTCCATCGCTGGCGGGCGCCAATGAGGGTCCGGCAAAGGCGTCATGAATCGGAAGAGGGTACAGGAGAGATCTGCGGGTCGTCGAGCATCGTCGCGAGAGCCCGGGCGCAGGTACCCGGCCAGCGTGTCGCGTCACCATAGGGTGAACATGCATGGTGTCGGTGAAGGAGTTTGCGGGTGGTACACCGGCGACCACGACACGGCGCAAATGAGGCGGCGGCGGCGGTGTAGGGTCGTCGCGGAGAAGGGGCCCGATGGTGGTAAGCGTCACCAATGGAGAAGGGACCCGGTGATGATGCCGGAAGCAGCAGTGCCAGCAAGCACACACCCCAGAGATAACGATGCCGGCCGGGCGAAAGCAGCGAGGAGGTGCGACAGCGGCATCCCCGACCAGCTAGCGGGACGTAGGGGCGGGAGCGACTCGAGGGCGACGCCCGGACTGGGCGGCGGCGCAGGCGAGGCGTCACCGGTGGGTGGCGGCGGGGCACGGGCCCCATGAGGGGCACGGGAAGCGATACTGCAGGAGACAATGATAAAAGTGGGTTTGGACCACCGTGTCGATGGGAAACAAAGAGAAGGGGTCCGGATCGGGGTGGGAGATGGTGTGGTGGTGGTGGAGAAGGGAAGACAGACTCATCAAACACCACATGGCGAGAGATGATGACCCGACGGGAGGTGAGGTCAAAGCACCCCATACCTTTGTGATCCGGGGAGTACCAAAGGAGAGACACAGAGCGGAACGGGGAGCCAGGCTTGGGGAGGCGGTGGCGGTGGTGTTAGGGTAACACGCACACCAAGACACACGAAGGTGGTCATACTGAGGAGGGGTACCAAGAGAGCGTGGTGTGGTGTGGGGCCGGGCCGGGCAGCAAATGGAAGGAAGGCGGTTAAGGAGATAGGTGGAGGTGTGCGACTCTCTGCCCGAAAGCGGCGCAGTAGCGACGCTGGAGCGAAGGAGTGCGCGGTGGTGTCGTTCGTGGTGCGAATCATGCGCTCGGCCTTGCTGCTTACAGGAGGTATACTGGGCAAGACATGCGCGCAATTGGACACCGTGAGAGAGGAAGAAGGCACGGGAGGTGCCGTTATCGAACTCACGGCCATTATCACACCGGGCGGCCTTGATGGTGAGGCCGAATCGAGTAGACACCAGGCGAAAAAGTTGAGAAGAGTGGTGAAGGTATCCGACTTTGCACGCAAAGGAAAGTCCACGAATAATGCGAAAATCGTCAACCACCACAAGATAGTATTTATACCCGTAAATGCCGATGACGGGAGAGATCCATAGGTCGCAGCAGTGTACAAGATCAAACACATGCGTAGCATGTGAAGAAGAAGAACAAAAAGGAGACGAACATGACGGCCACCGTACGCATGCATGACACAAGTGCTCATCGTGAGCCCGAGTACAACCAATGTCGGAATCGCGACTAAGTCAGCGTCGAGCATCACGTCCGGGATGGCCAAAGCGACGGTGCGTGTGGTGGAAGGAGTGGCGGCGAAGGCAATGACAAAGTAGACGGCGACGAAGATGAAGCGAGCCGCCGGAAACCGAAGGGTGTAAAGGGGTCCCGTCTTTGTCACATCGGAGAAGAGGACGCCGGAAGCCAAATCCTTTACAGTAAGACCAGAAGAGTCAAATTCAACAGAACAAGAATTGTCAGCTGTAAAACGACGAATAGAAAGAAGGTTGTGAACCATAGAGGGTGCAACAAGAATGTCAGGAAGACGAAAGGAACCATGAGTGCCAAAGCACCCACGACGTAATCGGAATACACGAACCATTCGCGACCATGATGGACGAGGGGATGAGAGGAAGGAGGGTGAATAGAAGAGAGTATACCGAGTGCTGGAGTAGTGTGGTAAGTGGCACCCGAATCGGCAATCCAATTGTACCAAAGAAAGTGTCGTGGCCATGGTCTTTGAAGGATCTGGCCAAGGCCGCCGGGTTCCAACCGACAGGCCCGTCGGGAGGTGGCACCCACGAAGATGCGCCGGAAGGGGGAGCCCACGCAGACGGGGAGTGAAACCCCGAGGAGCTCCAGTGAGCAAGGTCGCTGCGGGTGGTGGGCTCTCCGCTTTGGGCCGGGAAGGGCCACATGGAGATGCGCCCCACCACGGGTTGTGGAAGGAGGGCAGGGTGCACCCCCGTGGAGTCGCGGGCGATCGCACCGTGTGGTGGCTTCATGCCCCCACGCCCCTCCATGGAGACGGCGGCCGCCACGGCCCCCACCCCGCCTGCCCGGGAGGAGAACCAAGAAGCGGCGACGCGGCGGTGGAGCGAGGGAACGCCGGGAGGAGAAGCGGCGAGCGAGCGAGAGAAGACGAGGACCTGGCGTGGAGGTGGACCACAGGCCGGATGCCACTGAGTGAGCTCCTCCATGACAAGGTCGTCACGGACCGCAGGAAGGAGGAAAGGCCTCTGCCGGGGTGATCCACGTCCGGAGGTGGGCGTGGCGGTCACCGAGCCCATGGAGGACATTGAGGACCGAATCGCGGTCCTCCACGGGCCAGCCAAGGTCGCCGAGGGAGTCCGCCATGCTCTTCATCGCCCGGCGAAAGTCCAAACGGAGAGGTCACCACGAGCGAAGGTCGCGAAGCTCGCATCGAGACGCAGGGGCCGGGCTTCGGCATTGCCAAATCGCCTCGAGCGCAAGCCGAGCCCGCGAAGTCCAGCCAGAGAAAGCGCGACGAGGTCGTGGAGGTCCAGGAGATCGTCCCAATGATCAAGGAGAGGACGACGCTGTCTAGGCGCAGCCACGATGAGGTCTGGACTGCGACCGAGGCGTCGACTAGGGCGGGCGTGGTCGTCGAGGGCGTAGCGGCGGAGGGGTGAGAGAACCAGTCCCCTCCAACATGAGCGTAAGAAGAGGCGACTTCGAGTTCGAGGACGACCGGACGAGGAGTCGGATGTTCTGGACACCCCCGGCCTGGTAGTGGAGCTGAGCGACGTGCGGGTCGGCCGGGTCGTGCCAGATGACCGTGGTGTGAGACGCGCGGTGACCCGTCGAGCCTGAGGAGGTGGCCGCGGTGTCGTAGGATGTAGGGAGGACGAGGAGCTGCTCCGCCTCAGCGATCTGGCGGGCCAGGGCATCAGCCGCGTCGCGCTCGCGCTCCAAAGCGAGGGCGGCCGCCCGCACCCGAACTGGCTGTCAAGAAGCAGCAGCAGCGTCAGCAAACCACGAGAGCGCAGGCCAAGCGCTGAGTTAGCCCTACCGTCTGGAGAGGGCGGTAGGCGAGGAGGAGGAGCGAGGAAGAAGAAAGGCTCGTGTTCTCCCAGCGCCCAGCCGCGAGGGCGTGGTTGTCTCACGCCACGCCATGCATGTGGCGAGGCCGCCAACGCCAGCGCCCAGACATGGCAGCGGCGGGCGGCCATCCATCTGCGTCCCGCTGCAAGGAGGCCGCACCATGGCTACCGGGCCCAGACGGGTAGGGAAGGAGGGAAAGCACAAAGTAGGTTGGGGAGGGAGGGGGAGGGCGGCCAGCCATGGCGGCGGCAAGCAGACGGCCGGCGGCGCCTGGTGGCTGGGTGGGGAAGGGGAGGAAAGCCTAGGCTGATACCATGTTAGAATTGTGTATCCATTCTCATGCTAACCCTAGAAGGGTAGCAATGTATATTGGTCATACATGGGCCTCATGGGCCTAATACACTCATACTCTCATACTCCAACAATTTTGTTGACAGTGCATGTATTGAATTCATTTTCTTTTCTCGACTTGAACCCCCCCTTTTACACACACACACACCAAATGTTCAAATCCTGGCATCTATCCCTGATACCGGCTTTACATGAAACTGGGCAGTTCAGTCTGGTCGAAATGGTTCAAATGTTCAAGTGTAGGGGTGGTCCACACAGAAACCAGACTCCAAGTGCTGGCTGTGTGTTTTCTGTTTCCTGATTAAACCCTCCGCTTTTCTCTGCTTCTTAAAACTATGGCCTATAACATGCAGTAAACTAAAGGAAGTTTAAAATTTACATTGTTATGCGCAATTTTATACCAGTGCATGTTCTGTAGAGTGAAAAATTCTCAAAACTATAATTCTGTTTTCTAGCATGTTCTATAGAGTAGAAATTCTCGAGATTGTAATCTAGTTTTCTAGCACTAAATTCTTTCGTCTCAATTTATTAATTTGAGCAAACCTTGTATGTTTTTGCTTGTGTAATTTACACGCTTTATATATCAATACAATTATTCCTCATACTTTATCTGGATCAGATTTTACATTTGTTTTCTCCCCTGATAGACTTCCCAGTTTCTTCTTGCTAGTGATGGAAGTAATTTTTCGTTTGCTAGGCTCGCTCTCTTCTTGGAGAGCTGGTAACAGCAACAGATCTGGGCTATACAACTTCGGTTGCATTTTCACTGGGTTGCATCCATCGAAGGTAAGTTTCGTATCTAAAGATATTTCTTTGTATTAATTCTGAATCTCAAAATACCAGTTAATAATCTCCATGGGGTTGGGTGTATACGTTCCCATTTGTTTCAGTTTTATAATTCATTGCTGACTTTGAGAATTGTGTCCTACTGTTCATATAGGAGGAATAGATGATTGTATTCCTGAGCCTCGTGAGCAAATTATATATGAGTACATTGCTTGGGGGGCAAGAAGCCTTCCTTCGAGATAAGACAAGGCGGGAGGGAATACATGATCCCTGGAGATATCCAAATATACTCTACCTCCCTCCCCCCCCAAACCCGCGCGCGCATGCGGCAGTCACAACTGGAGGTGCATACTGTGAGACTATAGAAGAGGCGAGGCCGAGTAGCCGTGGTCGACGTAGCCAATGTCAAGGTTGTCGCACATGAAGCAATGGGCGCAAAAGAGGCGCCATGAAGGGGGCGATACCAAAGTCGATGCAGGACATAGACGAAAACAACAATGCAATCGAGGCATGAAGGGTCGTTATAGTCAAGCCGCCATGGATGAAGCATACGCTGGGGTTGCTAGGCCCGGGAACGCCTCGTGACCGATGACACGCACCAGTGTCATACTAGGTAGAGGGCCCCAACCATACGCCAACATCTAAGGGAACAGTAGAGAGGGCCTTGGCGACGGTTGCAGTGCAGAGAACGGCGGGGGTAAAAGGTGGTGAGGGCAAGCCTGCTGTTGTCGGAGTAGACGAAGTAGGTGTAAAACAGACGATGACACTGGTGATATGGTTGTGCTAGACGAAGGTGATGCAGTGTGGGGGGAGTAGACGCTGGTGTTATGGTTGTGCTGGACGAAGGCGATGCAGTGTGGGGGGAGTAGACGCTCCTACTTGGAGGCGAGCCGTGCACAAAGTCATCGTTCGGACGCAAGGTATGCCAGTCGTCGATTCACAGGGGATGATGATGTAGATGCAGCGGCGAGTGCCATCATGGACAGAGGCATGCCTGTGAGGGCATGTCTCCTTCGGTGGCTATCATATGCAGTGGTGCTGTGACCTGAGGAGGCGACATAGCAATATCGGCCCTATTGTTCAGAGAGGATGCACATAGTACTCGACTAACATCACGGGAGCCAGGAGGATCGCGCACAATGGGCTGATCGGATCGAGCACGCACGAGGTGGGACAATGATGGAAGAAGTCGGTGGAGGCGTCCTCATTTGTGGTGGCAATGATGAACAAACGATGAACATGGTAGTTAGTATCATGACACATATCATAGGATAATATGCTTCTACGATACTACTGGAGTTGAGCGACACGAATTGGTGTGTGGATCGTTTTTGGATAGAGTCGTTGTGGGATTGGGATACAGAGGGCAGTATTGCTAGAATCACGACACAATTACGATATCATGCGTCTCCAGTGCTAGTCAGCGACGAGTCCTCCACATCCGCACAAGCACGACATGCTAACCGAGCATAGTTGTCGACGAGTCCTCCACACCTGCACAAGTGCGACATGCTAGCCGAGCCAACATCCTGGTGACCTACAACTGCAGGCCATGGATGAAATCAGGAGAGATGTGAGAGGAAAAGAAACACAAGGAAAAGATGGCGAGAAGGAAGGAACAGATAAGAATGACGTCGGTGGACTAAAAAAGTCTTCTCTGATGCCTGCTTTGTAGTACTTGAACTAAGTAGTGGGGCACATGTCGCTATTAGACCTGACTGGTCAGTTAGTCAGTGACTTCAATATTGTTTTTTTTGCGGTATATGGAATTAGTATTATTATTTTTTATGGAATGTCTATGTATAATTACTAAATGTATTTTTTCTGATATATAAGTATTGAAACAATTAAAAAACAAAATTTCATAGTTATCCCAATACTACGATAAGATCCTACGATCCGTATCTGGGATCCTGATCCTAACAACCTTGGTGATGAAGCCGAGAAGCAACACTAGGAAGCGTTCCCTCGGCATTGCGTCGTTGCGTGCTCGTCCAAGCCACGTGGGCGAGGAGTAGAGGCTGGTGTTGTTGATGTTGATGTCGGAATAGATACATGCGAGGTCGACGGGCGGTTGGCGATTCAACCCCGATCAGTGATGGGGTAAATCGAACAGGGATACAGGCAACAACAAAGGCGACACACAGCCCACCGTATGGGCAAAACAAACTGGGATACAAGCAACAACAAAGGCGACACGCACCCACCAGGATGCCGGGCGGTGCGGGTTGACGGTGGATCCTGTGTGGCCATGGCGCGGGGAAGGTCCCAGTCTGTGACAATGTAGGAGGGTGTTAGAGCGCATGGTCGGGACACACCTTGGCCTGTCAGGAGGGTGCCAGAGCGCATGGTTGGGACGCGCCCTAGCCTATCCGCCACCACAGCGGTGCGGGGATGAGGCGTTGTCTTGCAGCATGGAGGAGGCCGGTGGTGCGAGGAGGTAGGCGATCTGCTACTAGGACCCACACTAGAACGACGATGAGGGCGACAGATCAATAGGATATGCCCCTAAACAAGAGCGCTGCCCTCGGCGGAGATCGATCTCCTCGGGGTCACGTGGTGCGGAAGCGTTGTCTTGTTCCCTAGATCGGAACTTGAACTCGTGATACGAGGAATAGAATTGGTGGAATAGATGATTGTATTGCTGAGCCTCATGAGCAGATTATATAGAAGTACATTGGTTAGGGGGCAAAAGGCCCCCCTTAGAGATAAGGCAAGCCGGGGTTGCATGATGCTAATCTACCATATCTGGAGATCCCAATATACTCTAAGGGTGCTTTTGGTTTGGCTTTTGGAAACTGCTTTTGCTTCCAAAAAGCCGAAAGCCAATCAAAGGGGTGGAAACCAGAAGTTTTTTTTTTCTCGGATGCGCAGGAGAGCTACGCATCTTTGTATTATAGGGAGGAAAAAAGGATCGGCCCCTTACATGAACACCACCACCTCACTCCGGGCCGAGCCATGAGGGGTTGAATGAAACAAAAGGTTTGCACTAATAACAAAAATTAGAAGGATGAGGCCTGACCAAAAATTCTTGCAAACTAGAATTAACTAGCCCAAGCCGTGACCTAGATCGAGAGTCTGTAGGCCTCATGCACCCGTGAGACACCACAACTCCTCATCTTTGAAAGCCTGCATGAGGCTAGAAATCCTCGGTGGAGCTCCATCGAAGACACAAGCATTGCGATGCTTCCAAAGGATCCTTGCCCCCAGAATAATGACCGTGTTTAGCCCCTTCTTTTCCTTCGGTAGGTTCTTAGTAGCTTTGCGCCACCAATCAACGAAGGAGATTTCACGAGAGTTGGGTACTTGATCTTGTAGTCCCAACACGGATAGAATCCATTACCAGAAATCCCGTGCCAACACGTAGGTGGTCAGGAGATACTGGATGTTCTCCTCCTCCTGGTCGCAAAATGGACAGTCACTGGGATGTGGAAGTCCTCTCCTCGCGAGTCTGTCCGCCGTCCAACACCTATTCCTTATTGCCAACCAAAGGAAAAGTTTGCATTTCGCTGGAGCCCATGATCTCCAAACTCGATGCCAAGGCTCGAAAGTAATAGAACCGTTAAAAAAGGCCCGATAAGAAGACTTTGATGAAAAACGACCTGATGCTTCTAGCCTCCAAAGGTGGACATCTGCATCCTGGGTTAGTATTGGTAGTACAGTTTGGAAAGCACCTTGGATCCTTCTTTTGGCTTTTGGCTTTCTGCTTTTTGAATTGGTGAAAATAGAGAGCTGTTTCACAATTGTTTCAAGGAAAATAGAGATAAGAGATAAATTTTATACTTGTTTGAACCAAACAGCTTACAGCTTTTCCACAATCCACAACCTACAACAGCTTTTCAACATCCCACAGCTCACAACAGCTTTTCCAGAAGCCACAGCTCAACCAAACACACCCTAAGAGTTGACATGGCTTGACATTCTAATCTACTTTCTTGGGAATGGAGTCGAGTATATCTAACACACATGACAAATTTGTACCAAGTTTCTTGTTTCATTTCTAAGCTTGACAAAGTAAGTATTGAGTTGTATGCATATTCAACCCAAAAGCTTAAGCTGATGGGGTGAGGTGGGCAATTCACTTATACTTCAACCCCCCTCCCACCTCTCACATGGAGGCTCCCTGACGTGGAATAGGAGTGAGCAACATTTATTTTATTTAATTGCGCTAGCCACGATTTGAACTGGAGACCTTTGTTTTCGGCACCATACTGAGAATTAGGGGAACACCTCGCACCCATAATGTGGGGTAGCTTTCATATATATTGTCAAGGTACAACTTGGAGTACAAGTCACATGATATACATGTGTTACATATCTCTAATAGAAGTCTGGAGAATCTTATGTTTTCTTACTTTTTTCCCTATTAGTCTTTGCTATTGCTTTTATGGAGAAGCAAAAGAAACTTTCATCTATATGAAAATGAGTTTTGTTTGCATTGATGACTATTCTCATTTAGTATCAAAGTGAATTATCTAGTTCAATGTATTTCCACTTGAGCGGTATGGTTTTCTTTAGTTTGATACCTTGATATAACAAACAATGTTTTATCCCACCATTTACTGCTAGGCTTATATATTGTAGTGGTGGGAGTATGTTTGGCACATTGAGGTTGTTGCAGTAATGTACCTTTTGTGGATGCAGTGCTGGAGGAATGGCATTATCTACTCTGGTTACCCCAACTGTGAGCTCACTATCTCATTTGAGTACAAGCTCTAATTTCAATCTGCAGTTGTGGTCACTGCATGCTCTTCTTTTAACCATTGAAGCTGCTGGCTTGTCTTATGTCTCCCAAGTTCAGGTACCCCTGAAATAAGTTTTACAACATTTTTTTTGAGAGTAATAAGTTTTATAGCCACTAGTTTTCTAGATACATGCTTTGCAATGGCTTGGCATTTATAAACATGCGGAAACAATAGCGGTATACTGTTCATTCTTTTGTTCTCTTTTGGATCTGGTACTGTTCAAATTCTTGCCCATGTGACTACCCTGTAAATAAGGATGGATACGGATGTCCAGATATCCGAAAGATCCAATATCCGTATCCGTTTTAGCGTAAATATGGATATCTGTGTCCATATTCGATTGAAATATGGATGTTAAATGGATGTATCCGTATTTGTTTTTGAAGAATATTCTCTATCGGATTCCACATCCGTATCCGACAAAAATGTGAAATATCCGATATTATCCGAATCTGCGAAGTACAAATTATTTTGAAACCATCTAAATCTTATAATTATGACTAATTAATCATGTCAATGATAATAATTTTAATATAACAGATGATATGTACCATTATTTAAAGGTTATCTATGGCTAATGTAATTTAAATATTATTAACGACATATAAATCTAAAGTTCAATTAATTTTAATATGGCTAATAATATTAATTAGTATTTTATTTTATTTATATACTTCTAGATTTATTTTTATTTATCCGAATTTAGGAATTAGTATATATTATCTATTATTTTCTTATATCTTATATGAATTTAATTATATAGCTACAAATTAAATTCCTTCATCCATAATGATTTTATTATACACAAAACTATTGATATAAACAAAATACATGTTATCTTCAAAAGCAATAGATATCCGAATTCGAATCTGAATTCGAGATATCCGTTTTGCATTAGTATCCGACAATATCTGTATTCGAATTAAAATGTGGTAAATAGTGGTATCTGAATCCATATCCATCCGAATCTGATCCGAATCCATCCCTACCTGTAAAGAGCTAGATAGTCATCCTATTTTATCTTTCCTTAATTTCGTATCAATTGTTGCTCTATTTTTTTTCCTTTTTATCTGTGGAAGTTGCTCTATATTCTTTTACTAAGGGGGACACCTACTTAATCAAAGGCATCCTTCCATGAAACTAAAAGTGGCACATATCTTTTATGCTTTGCCAGCATACAGATTCGAAAGCTCATTATCTTATTATTATGTTCTTGATGTCACTTTTCGTTTCTTATTTGTGCGGTAAGCATGCAATATCATGTGCTTGTATTGTTGATTGCAAATTTGTAATGGATGCTTTAATATCTTGTTGCACAGGGGACACTTTTCCTTGCTATGGAGATTCTCCTCTTGGAAGAAAATGGATATGTGGATCTTCGACAGGGAATTGGTCATCTTATCAATGCAATAGTTGCTGTTCTTGGTCCAGAGCTTGCTCCTGGTAGTACATTCTTTTCGCGTTGCAAGGTTAGACTATTCTTACCTATGTATCACTGATACTCAAGTAAGGTTGATGTACCCGTATCTATATGACAGGATACGGTGATACAGCATCATACTATCTAATACGGGTATTCGGAGAAGTATAAAAAAATACAGCTTAAAAGTAAAAGATTTAATTCGTGATATGCTGCTGATACTGTGTGACACTTCATCCTGGGCCTGCAACTCCTTATTTTAATGCCCAGCCCAGCAACACTGGCCCGTATAAAGCTTCCACTGTAAAACACCATCAGGCTCAGCAGCTTAAATGTGTGACCAAAGGATGGTTTCTATGGTACTGATAATGGGTAGGGTTTGGTTCTTCTATAAGATCCCCTTATACACTCCAGACCAGGTCTTAAATACCATGTCCACAGTTGTCAACAGAACACTAAGCACTGTTTAAAATCTGAAATTAACAGTGAAGTCGATCGACCGAAGCCCTGAACTATGACTTTCTCTGCTTGCCCAGAATACTAAAGCCTGACAAAACTGAAGCTGAAACTGATAGAGTGAATGATTCAGAGTTCCTGACAACATGACCCTCCTCTCCTCTAATCTCCTGCTCCGCACTTCCCCTTGTTTGATCACATTATCGCCTGGAGAGCTCACCCCTGGGAGTGGGCATCGCCCTAGGATCCAAAGCCAAAGGGAGCCACCAGGCAATGTTGAACTTGTGAACTCCCTCTGGATTTTTATCTTATCCTTGTCCTGTGTTTTGCTGTAGAGCGTAGAGATGACAAGTGGAAACTCAAAATCTGGTGTGCAAGCTGACGACGTGCTATCTAGTGCTACTGATTTTCAATCGGAATGTTTTTCCCTCTATGTTCTAGCCTTCCGAACTTGAACCAAAATGTGTTATGTTGTTCTGACATGATATATTTAATATATTTATATTATTTTTTTCACTGTTTTTTTTTTTGGGGTGGTGGGGGGTGTAAAATATATATTTGTAGCCGTGTTGCTCCATCTCCGTACCTCTCTCCATATCAGTGTTTCATGTATCGATGAACAAAGATTTTTACTCTAACCCCTATTCCAAAAAGAATAGACCCAACAAACTTTTCGAAAGGATCCTTCTACCTTTACTTGATTACTGACGCTTAGCATTCTAGCCCTCATATTGTAACTGGATAATACATGTCATTATGCCATTGAGTGGCTGTAGTTTTGGGGATTATATATCGTATGTATTAGGTAGTAAAGGTTGTTATTTTCATATTCGTAATCCCTCATATTCAAGAATAAAATGACCAGCACTTAACAATTGAGGGAGTATTCTCTGTTTTCGATAGACATGAACTGCAGTCTTTCAACTATTTTTGTCTCTAAAGAAGCTGGTTTGTGTAATTTATTTATTTATTTATTCCAATTTCAGTCTGTCATTGCAGAGATAAGTTCCTCAAATGAAATGGCTACGCTTTTAGAGTAAGTATTGACATAAAGAACTTGTATTGTTATTAACAAGCATCTGGTTAGTATAGGCCAAATTAATAAGTAATCTTGAATGCATTTTCTGTAATATTTTACATGAAATTTGACAAAATCTGCAGATCGGTTAGATTTGCCCAGCAGCTTGTTCTTTTTGCTCCTCAAGCTGTTCCTGTGCACTTGCATGTTCAAGGTCTTATCCCAACGCTTTACTCAAGACAGGTAGATACTGCTGCTATTTACTAATTCTAGTTTTTCCCCTCGAATACGCAGGAGAGCTGCATATCATTTCTTTAAAGTAGGAGAAAATACTTATTAACATCTCCCCTCTCACAGTGTTATATAATGTTTTTTTTTTCTACAGCCAAGTCTTAGGTATTTAGCAGTGTCGACACTGCGTCATCTGATTGAAAGGGATCCGGTAAGGCCTGCAAACCGAGATACTTCATTTCAGTATTGTTTTTTAGTTCAAATGCCTTGCAGTTGTTTCTATCAGCCTTATGTTGCTCACATCTACAAAGTCAAGCTCAGAGCAATATCTGTTCCATCTCCTTAATTTCTATTTTTATGATCTTTCGTAATGACTATGAGTTCGATGGGGTGTTATTAAGTGTAAAAATTATAGACATTTTTCTTCTGCAGTTAAGTAAACATGCTTTTTTTTCATAACAATTTATACCATTTTGGATGCCAGTAAATTTATGTACAATTCTAGTGTGTATTGAAAAAGAATTGAGTTTTTAAGTTAATTTCAAATCTGATTGCATCATCATATTCTTAAAGTTGGGGTCATCTGGTTGACATGGCCTAAGTGTTCGAAACCTGGAAATTTTGTTGAAAACTGTGTTTTCTTATGATGCGACGGCTGGACGCTGCTATGATTGCTGCAACATTCTTTCATCGTTTCATGCAACATATGCGAACACCATTTGCAAGAAATCAAGGCAATGTTTGCAACAAAATTTTCAACTTTACAACATTTTGCCCATTTGCACCAGATATCCGTTATCTGACTACATATTTTCTTTTTTAGATGTTTTTTATGCAATTGTAATTTGCTTATCTTATATTGCTGAATCTTCTCTACCAGGCTGCAATGATTGACGAGAATATTGAAGAGAATCTGTTCAGTATGCTTGATGAGGAGACAGATTCTGAGTATGTTGTTCTATTTGTGTATATGATGTATCCTACAGTCACAAATACAAGTTCATTAAGATATATACACGGCCTCCATATGATACTTTTACTCACAATATCTATATATAATGAAAGTATATTTTGTAATGAATTTAGTAATTCCAATCATTTGTGAGCTATCTCTGTAAAACTTTAGTTGTTGTCTTGTTGATAGTCAAAGATAAAAAAAAAGGTTCTTAGAATTAACCAAGATGGACTTATGTTTGTGACCGGTGGAAGTATGTGTATTTTCCTTGTGGTGAACTGTATTCATGAGGTCTTATATTTGCCTTATGCCCACTCAGTATTATGTGTCATTTGAAATGTTCTGTTTACATATATGGATGTCTTATGTCAAACCTGCAACTTATCTTTCTGTTTTTCAGATATATCACTATGATTCGTTGGACATAAGTTTACCGCCATTACTTTATCTGTTTTAAAATTTAACTTAACTCAATTGACCAATTCAATGTACTTTGTAAAAACTTGTGATGCTAATTTTCTTCTTAATACAAAGATACGCAGCTCTCCTGCATGTTCGAGAAAAACTTATGATGCTAATCACTAAATATTCAACTGTGCAGAATAGCGATGTTGGTTCGTACAACAATTATTCGCTTATTGTATACATCATGTCCACTACGTCCATCACGGTGGCTGGCAGTTTTACAAAATATTGTATGTTTACTTCATATTTTACTTTGTTGATTTGTTTTTCCTTTATGTATTATATTAAGAAAAAGGAGAGTCTAAGATTCAACAAGCCCGTTATGGCAAATGACCTACAATAGGTTTATACCAAAAACAAAAAATAAATGCAACCAGCAACCTAGATGCAATAGTGCCAAAAAATGCTACCAAGATTGTTCTCCAGACATGCACCAGAACCTGGCCTCATAGTGGTTCATCCTTAATGTCCTGCATAATAGCATAGATATTTGGAGAACTCCCCCTCAAAAACACATCTGTTTCTATTTCCTTTATGTATCTCGTAGTGATTTCCATGCGTTTTTTTTCTGCCAGAGGCAGAGATACAGGATACCAATAATGAGAGAGGAATGCAATTATGACTTCCAACGAGTAGTTTTATGAAGACAATGATATGTGAAAGTGTAGCCATGTTCCTATTTGTTTTTTCATGCCAATTTATTTATTTACATTGACACTTGATAATCTATAAATGGTCTGTTAACTATGATCGAAGAAAGGTTTTTGGAATATGTACCTATTGTGAACATTTTTTCATTTATGCCTTAATTAAAAACATTTCTTTTGAATTCTTAAATCACAGTATTTTGTGTAGTTTGGTGACTTTTGTAGATTAAATAATGCGTTTAGTATGCACGATGATAAGACTTTCCTTAGTTTTTTCATTATATCAATTCATGATTAGTGCCAGGGAAATTTTGCGTTGAAGTTGCTAAACTGATGCCATTGTCTTTTTTATGTCACTTAGGTTCTTGCTACGTCAATTAGAAGAAACACAGGTGAAGTTCTGTCAAGTTTTGGACATAATCCCCCTGATAGCACATCTGAGAATGATGTGTACTATGGAGAAGATGAAGACAACATGATTTCCAGCTCAAAGCAGGAGCAAGTCCACTGGGCTGGTTCTATATCCAGCCAGTTTCCTCCAAGGAATAAGCACCTCAGATATCGTACCAGGGTTTTCGCTGCAGAGTATGTTTGCTTTTTTATTTTATGTACTCTTTTTTTTTCTTCTGTCAAGACCAATTTGGTATGAAGATGTCCATTAATTTCTTATTATTATTACAAATGTTTTCCTTTTGTGTTAAAACAGATGTGTTAGCCATGTACCAATTGCAGTTGGAGCAGAACCTGCTCATTTTGACCTCTTGTTGGCAAGGAGCGCAATATCTAAAGGGACTTATCTGTCAAATGATTGGCTAGTGCTTAAGCTACAGGAACTGGTCTCACTTTCATATCAGGTTTTGACATAAATCAGATTCTAGATGCTGAAACTATTTGGGTGAAGATTTGTGTTAAATTTAACTAACTTATGGATGACAACTACCTTTGGGTTGCAGATATGTACTGGCCAATTTGAAGGAATGCAACCAATAGGCGTGAAGCTTTTGTGTTTGATAATGGACAAGGTGTGCCATCTATTTTGAGATTATGGCCTGGAGATAAATAAATATTCTAGTATCTACCATGATGTCACAGGGGGGGCTGTGGCTGTTGCTGTTGCCTGCTGGCGTGGGAGGAGAGGGTGGCGGCTAGGGCAGGGGCAGGCACGGGCGCAGGGAGAGGGATGGGTGGCGGCAGCTAGAGAGAGAGAGAGAGAACCGAGGCAGAGAAGAGAGAGGGATAGGGGAAGAGCAATTGCTCTATTCTTGCTTAAGATCTGAATGGTTACATGACCCCTATATTTATAGTCCCTAGGGGACATGGCCTCTACGTAATTTAGACTTGACCTCCAAGCAATCTATAGATAGAGTCCTTATAGATCCGGACTCTCTTTTCCTAACAAACTCTATCCTTATCCTTATCTATTCTATTCCTAATTCTAATCTATTCCGGACTCCTCTTGGGGGAAGGAGGCCGATGGCTCCTCTAGAGCCGTCGCCCCCCTTCGTGCATGCGCCCAGGCCTCAGCTGGCCAGGGCCCTTTTTTTTCTCGAAAATGCAGGAGAGCTGCGCATCATTATATTAAGAAGATAATAAAATGGGATAAGAACCCATACAACACAACGCACATAAAAACCACACAACTCTACACACACACTACACTGCTGCTGCTAGAAAACTAACGCGCCAGTGACATAAAGATCACGACCAAGGTAGACAGGGCTCTAACCACCTGGAGCGAGGGCATCCAAGAGGGATAATCCTCGAGCCCCCGCCAAAAACCACGACCTTCTTTCATCTTCAGCTAGAGCAAGTGCGCCTACAACATTTGGGGCTGCTCCATCAAAGACACATTTGTTGCGGTGTGTCCATAAGGTCCAAGCTCCAAGGATTATGAGAGAGTTGGTTCCCTTCCTTAACATATCACTAGCAGCATTGCTCACTTTCTCCCACAAAAAATGGAAGGATGTTTCTGTTGGTTGCGGGGAAAAGGCTTTGAGTCCAATCCAAGAAAAGAAGCGGAACCAAAACTCTCTTGCAAAGACACACTGGACTAAGAGGTGATCAATAGTTTCCGCAGCCTGGTCACACAAAGGACAGCGCTCAGGATGAGGGAGCCCATGGCATGCAAGGCGATCCGCAGTCCAACATCGGTTGTGAGCTATCAACCAAATAAAGAAGCGGCATCTGGGCGGTGCCCATGTCTTCCAAATTCTCTCATAAGGCTCAAAAGATGTAGTCCCCACAAAAAATCCCTTGTATGCAGTCTTGGCCGAATATTGCCCATCTGATGAAAACTGCCAAATATGTCTATCTTCAACATCCGGTTGCAAAAAGAAATCAGATAGGACATCCCATAGATGGAGATAATCAATAATTACACCTACTGTGGTGGCCCCTTTTATGTCAGAAATCCAAGACTGGTTGGTGAGGGCATCCTGGACAGTTCGTTGTTTGATCCTCCTTTAGGAATGATGGCGAAAAGACGGGGCGCAAGATCTGTGATACATTGTCCATGGAGCCAACGATCTGTCCAAAAAAGGGTTTTTGTTCCATCTCCTACTTCGGAATAAACAACCACTTTGAAGAAGGCACTGGCTTGCTCTAGGACATGGATTGGAAGATTAGCCCATGGGCGATGCGGCTCTGTTTTCTGTAACCAGACCCATCTCATTCGTAGTGCCTAGCCTAGAGATTTAAGATGAAATTCCTAAACCTCCAAGTTCTTCAGGGAGACATACCTTAACCCAAGCAACGAGACAGTGCCGTCCTTTTGCATCCCTGCGGCCTCTCCAAAGGAAACCACGCCGAATTTTATCCACTTCTCTAATAGCCCAAGGTGGGAAATCAAAACCCATAACTAGATAGATGAGCATACCAGTGAGCCAGGGCCCTTATTTGGGCCTTATTGGGCCCAGCCATTGGCCCGTATAGGCCGGTGACATCACTCCTCCCCTTTTCCATTCAGCGCGTCCTCACACTGAATTGTTGCCTAGTTGTTGACGCTGTCCTGGGGAGGAGCTCCTCCAAAGTGGAGCACCTCAGTGCCAATGGTGAGGTGCCCCAGCTTGATCCCCGCATGGATGATGTCGTCGTGAGTGCGGTTGATGATCAACTGGAAGAAGTGCTAGAGGTTGATGATGTAGCAGAAGATGAAGTAGTTGTGCGTGCCCGTAGCGGATGTCGGCCTGTGCGCCTCTCGAGCGTCAACGAGGATCGGGCAGTGTATGCCGACGTCGATGAATCTGCATTGCCCTTGGAGGCCTCTCAAAGTGCGCGTGGGAGGACGAAACCCGTTACCCGTTGCATGATTGTCGACGTGATCCTTGTTGGCGGGGTTGTTAACAGGTGTAGCATGTCGTCGAAGATCAATTGCCCTGCATGGAACTCAGACGGCGAGGGGTGCGGGTGCCCGGAGTTGCGGTGCATGTAGCGGAGTGGAACTAGCAGCCAACATCCTCGAAGAAGATGAACGTTGTTGGCGGTAGTATACCTTGTGGCCACTCCCGAGCCATTAGGACGCTCTCGGGGAAGGTGTAGGTGGCTGCCGCTGTCGTCGATGGGGTGTAGAAACCTACCGCAAGTTGTCGTCGGTTCGTCGTCTGCCCAACGACGAGTGTCTCGAGCAGGTCCTACAATAATGGTGATGGTGCCGGAAGACAGAAGTGTCGAAGCAGAGGATCCCTTGGTCAAGTGACCAGGCCGGTGCTGCGGTGCCACCAATGATGGCGGTGGCGATGGCACGCCCTGGTGGTGGTGCCTGCTGCTGCTGAGGTGGCGCCATGACGACAGGGGTCGGGGTTCGAACCGTGACATCTCTCCCCCCTTTTCCACTCGGCGCGTCCTCGCGCTGAAACGTTGTCGAGGTGTTGATGTTGTTTAGGGAAAGAGCTCCTCCGGGTGGAATTGCCTTGATCTGGGAGTTGGCGGTGTAGTCGAAAAGGTAGTAGTTGTACGGTGCTGGTGGAGATGCAGCGCCATGTGCTGCTCGAGCGGCGTTGATGAGGGAGCGTGGGATGCTCGCATCAATCAAGATCAGCTGTATAGGCCGGGGAGGCTTCTTGAAGCTTTGTACCTGTAGTCCGGTGTCTGGGGCCACATAGTTTGGAAGCCTCCCAACATCGTATGTTGACGGTGAGATGTACGGGAGTCCAGACTCCATGTTCATGAAGATGGTGTCGTCGAAGAGGATCATGGTGGCAGTAGGCCGGATGTCAGTGGTGAGGGAGGATTTGTGGGTTTCGAGGTAGGCATCCGTAGATGCATTTGTGTTGGTCGTATCCTGCTTGGGTGGTACCTTGTCCTGTGCTGAGCCAATGTGGATCTCTAGTGTTGCAGTGCTGTCTGCGAGAACGAGGGTTTGATGCTCACGGTCGAGATTGTAGACTGCGATGGCATTTTGTCTGCCCTCCTTCTCAACGGGGGTGGGGGTGGAGTTGTTGGCCTTGGCCATGGTTGTTGCTGGTGTAGGTGTGGGTGCCGAGGAGATTCCATCCAAAGACACCTTAGATGCATGTGTAGAAAAAAAGTTAGGGGTAATTCTGGTGTCGAATGCGCTAGGTGTTGGCGTTGTTGTCATCAGTGCTCCACTTTCGGGCGCTATTGGCGCTCCGGTGTGTTGCTCTCCGGTTGATTTGGATCTATTATCGATGGAGAACTTGGGTATCGTGCAATGATCTTGTGCAGCTCCTTCATCCAATGACCGATGACACTGCAGACATCCTCCATAGCAATGGATCGGAACGTGGCTCTGGATAACAGGTGTCACAGCCCTACTCGGGGGAGGGGGGCTGCGGCTGCTGCTGCTGCTGGCGTGGGGGAGGGAGAGCGCGGTGGCGGTGGCTGCTGCCGTCGTAGGGGCGGCGGTGGCAGCTAGGGCAGGGGCAGGCGCGGGCGCAGGGAGAGGGAGGGGCGGCGGCGGCTAGAGAGAGAACCGGGGCAGAGAAGAGAGAGGGATAGGGGAAGAGCAAGTCCCTAGGGGACTTGACCTCTAAGCAATCTAAACTTGACCTCCAAGCAATCTTTATTGATCTGGACTCTCCTTTCCTAACAAACTCTATCCTTATTCCTTATCTATTGTATTCCTAATTCTAATATATTCGGTACTCCTCCTGGGGGAAGCAGGCTGATGGGCTCCCCTTTGCCTTATTGGTAACATTTTGCAAACATCTGAAACTTGCATCAGGACTTAGTAACTGGACTCTTGCATGGCTTGTCAACAGTGCATTCTTATTGACATTTTAACTGACGTGAATGAGTAATAAATAGTTTTGGTGAGGTTTATTATTTCCTTGTCTAGCAACTTTAGGCACCTGATTTTCCTCAAAAAGATTTTATGCACCTGATTAAACACTAGGGATGGATAGAGATATCTACTATTTAAATTATTACAATTCTATTTGCGTTAAAGAGGAAACCAAATACATATTTTTTAGGTTATTCTATGACCGACTACCTAATTGATGTGACTTGCCAAAGTTTCTTTGCATATTTCACCTAATTTGCACTTTATATATCCTCCCGTTGATAAAAAAAACTTGTTACTAAAAATTCCACATTTTTTAACCAAAAGTTATCTTATGGAGTATCGACATTGGTTAAATGAAAATGGTTGGTGGATGCATCATAAAAAAACTTTATGGATCATATAACGTAGTTGTACAAACATATTTAGTCGTGATACTTGAATTGTGACCATGGAAACTCAGGTTTCTTGATAAGCAGGAGTATTTCTGATTCAAACCTTTATGGTCCTAAACAAATAAATTGTTGTTTTATGTCTGTGCTATCGGGGCCATCTATGCTGTACCATTAATATCCACTGCATTGACTCTATTTCTTGCTCTATTCTTTGGTCGTCCTGGCGGCATGGTGGATTTGGAAGCATAGAATGGCTGTGTTTTTGAGGGATCTCAGCCCAATTTTAATTCCATTATGCAGAATATTAGAGATGAGGCCATGTTGTGGTGTATGGCAGTAGTCAAAGGTCTCCGTAGCTTATGGCCATGACTGGTTTCATTGTTACTTAGTTTGTTCTTGGTTGTTTTTTTTCTGCTGTAATTGTCATGCCCTTCAAAGGTGTTGTTTGAGTTGCTTAGACTCCTTATTCTTCTTAATATTAATGATACGGACCTCTCCTGCGTGTTCGAGAATTTTTTTTAGTTGCTCTGCTCTTTTCTTGGCATTCATGGTACATTCATCTCACTGGCCTAGCCTGTCTTCCAAGTCATAACTAAATTTCGAAATTAAAATTTCTTATCACAAATCATGTGCTAGTATTATGATTTTTTAACTAGTGCTATGTGAAGGAGAATAGAATTGGTGGAATATTGGTTGTATTGCATTGGGCCTCATGGGCTGATTATATAGGGTACATAGGACTAACACCCCACTTGGGTAAACAATGTGGCAATGTTTTCAAATCGTCTAATCGATCCTAGTCGCCATGGCAACGATCAGCCTGATTAATCGCGACTAATCACGATTAATCATGACAAATCGTAGTGCATAGCTGATTGCCATGGCACCGATCAGCCCGACTAATCGCGATTAGTCGGACGACTTGATAACCTTGCAATGTGGTAATATTCCTATTTATCAGAAACCCCCCCCCCCAGCACAGTCGGAGAGACTAGAGAAGAAGCTAACATCCCCCTGCAGTCATAACGGTCGATGCGTTGCTGTGTGTTGTGGCTGGATAAGAAGCCGATGAGTCCTCATGCAAGGTGGTAGCCCTTTGTGCCAATGTCGAGGTAGCCGAGCATGAGGGCGGAGGAGCCGTGGTCGAAGAAGCCGTGCTGAAGATGGCCGAGGTCGACGTTGTGGTCGGGTTGCCATGTCGATGGAGCTGCAGGGGCACAAGGGGCGCCATGGTGATGATGGAGACGTGTCGAGACAATCGTCGTGGGAGGAGGCGATGCCGAAGTCAATGCAATCAGTGCCATTGTGGACGTAGAAGAAAGGCGATGACGCAATCGAGGCACACGGGGTCTGAACGGGAGGGTCGATGCAGTCAAGCCGCCTGAGCGTCGAGGGGCGGCGTCGGGGATGAAAGCACGCGTCAGTGTTGCCAATATCGGGCGTACAAGGGAGAAGGCCCCATCCAGGCATGGTTGTGCTGGACGAAGAAGAAGCAGTGCGGTAGCGGACGTGTTGGCGAGCAGGGCTCAGCGACGACGCGAGGGGGCGGCCAGCGAGCAGGGCTCAGCGACGACACGAGGGGGCGGCCGGCGAGCAGGGCTCATTGACGGTGCGGGTAGCGGCATCTCGATGACGAATACTGAATCTGCAGACGGGCGCAGCAAAGATTGCGCAGCACAATCGTCGATGCACAGGGGACGGCGATGTAGATGCAACGGTGAAGTGGACACACAGGTGGCGGTGCTGCGGTCCGACGAGGCGACACGGCAGCAAGCCACGGCGAAGTGGACACACGGGCGGCGGTGCTACGGCCCGACGAGGCGACACAACAGCAAGCCAGCAGCCCTGTTGCTCGGATTATGATTAAGAGAGATGTTAAAAGTTCACCGTTTTTTGGGCATGGTTTATATTTCTTTCAGCTACGAGTTTATTCTGATGTACAGTCTTAAATGCTATTGCAAATTTATCATAATTATTGTGTTTATGTCATTTTTTATAGTTTGGCAAGGCAGTAGATCCTGAATTTCCTGGCCATATCTTGTTGGAACAATTTCAGGTGATTCTCAGATCTTCTCAATCCTTAGTTCCTTTTTTAAGAAACAGAAAGAAAATCTGCTACCTTGGTATGAGATTAAATATCTTCATGATTGTGAGAAAGAAATAGCCTGAGATTTCTTATGAATACTGATAATATCTATCTGTATAGGTACTATTTAATCATTTAAAGGAACCCTATTTTTCTGATGGTACTTATTTTTATTTTCAAAGTGCAGGCCCAACTTGTTTCTGCTGTTAGAATGGCTATAAGCACTGCTTCTGGCCCACTTCTTTTGGATGCTGGACTTGAACTCGCTACAAGGGTTTGTCTCAGAACTAAAACAAAATTCCTGATTTGCTATTATCACAGTATCCCTCCTTTTAGCTAGACTTGCACACCAAGTATTTATTATATATTGCTGCTGATACATCTTTGCTTCATAAAAAAAAAACAGGTTATGACGAGCAGCATAATTGGTGGGGATAGAGTAGCTCTTAGTCGTTTGTTTTCTCTGATAACACGCCCATTAAGTGACATAGAGGGCCTATTTTATCCATCTTTTGCTGACTGGGTAGTGTGCAAGGTATTTCAGTTCTCCTAAATTGTCGCATTTTTTCAGTTTGCCTTGGATATCTTAGTGTCCTAAGTACCTAACCTAGGTTTTGTAACTGACAGATAAAGGTTCGCCTTCTAACTGCCCATGCAGCAGTCAAGTGTAACACCTATCAATTCTTGAGGATGAAGGAAAATGCTCCTAATGAATACCAGCAATTGGTACCTTCACTTGTAAACAGCTCAACTCTATTAGGAAAATACTGGATTCGAGCACTCAAGGATTATGTTTCTATAAGTTTTGGTTTGCACTCAAAAATCAATGTAAGACGGTCAAACGAGCCTCAACAATTCATTTTCAAGGATCATATAATCGTATAATGGTTTATATTCTATCTTCTTTTACAGTACAAGCCATTCCTTGATGGGATTCAGTCATTATTAGTCTCGTCCAAGGTGCAGAGGTATCTTGATGAAGTTTGGTTATTAATTCTTCAAGCAACAGCTCTTGATGCTGCGCCTGTGGAATTTGACGAGAACAAGCCCGAAAATTTACTTGAACAAACATTTATATCTGGGCATTGTATGGTCAAATTGGACAGAAGTGAATTCCAATTTCTTTGGGGGTTATCTATCCTTGTGCTGTTTCATTCATGCCAATCAGTGAAGAATAATTCTTTGAAGATCAACCTTGACTCTAGACAAGACAAAATGTTTGGGGAATTTATTGTTCACAGACTAGATAATAAAAAACCATGTGATCAGGTCTTACCCGTGCTGTTGTCCCTCACAACAGAAGTCTTTTTCAGCAATAATTTCCTTTCAGTGGATATTTGCCAGGAACTCCTCCAGGTCAGTTTGCTTTTGCTACATTCATGTTTCCCAAATTGTAAAACTTGCTGATTCCTACTCTCTCCGTTCCAAATTATAAGCCGCTTTAACTTTTTTGGTAGATACATAGCAAATTCGATGTACCAAAAAAGTCAAAGCAACTTATAATTTGGAATGGAGGGACTATGTAATAATCCTCCATATTAATGTAGCATAGTCCATCCGTCCACAAAAAGATGTTGGTTTTGATATTGTCATGGTCTCCAATATGCAAATTTGACCATTAGTTTACATTTTAAAATTTCACATTTTATTTTCATATTTCTAATGTAAATATCTTAAGAGGTAGTAGTTTCTATTTATGCAAATTTTTATAAGTTTTAAAAGTTGGACTGGATGTATGTCCAAAACAGCATATATTTGTGACCAGTGGTAGTAATGGACCATATGGCCGCCAACGTAGGGAGAGTGCGATTTGCGCCAGTACATCCTTCGTCATGCAGTTGACGAGGTAGCCTACCATTTGCTGATTCTGGACAACCCCAGCTCATACATTGAATTGACGATGGTGGTCTTGTACTTGTCTTCAGCCACCACAATGGCCATCGGCTCTGGCGCCTTGATGGATCCATCTAGTAATCCCACCAGCTGTCTACCCCTAATGACTGGGAGAACCTGAGCCTTCCAGCGGACGAAGTTCTTGCGAGTAATCTTCTTGGAGACAGGCAGTCCAAGGAAGGCAGGCACATGGCACATTGCAGGTTGATGCCATGGGAGTAGGTGTGTTTTGGGAAGAAGATAGCTCTGATGACCATTGAAGGTTTTGTGTAACGAGGATACCCAAACTAGAGTCCAAGGCGTGAGTGTGTGGTGTTGTAGGGGGTTTCTTTCCCCCTTTTTATTGTTCTTAATATAATGATACACAGTTCTCCTACGTGTTCAACAAAAAAAAAAGGATACACAAACTCAGGTTCACCATGGTGCATGTTATATAGTGTTGTTGGGCAACAACCTACAAGATTACATGGGCTCTAGTTACAATCTATCCCTTACTTTAACATTTATGTTTCTAGAAGGTACTGGGATACGAAACCAACTAACCTATACACCTTGATCAATATCATAGATATACATCAATGACTTCTAACAATGCTGAGCCTTGTCCGGTTGAGGGTGTGGATTTACGTCTGGACCACCCATGTTTAAGTCCTTGTCAAGGCAAATATGGATGCCTATTTCTTCTTAATGTTGAGCCACCTTGTGTGTTGAACAAGAGTACAGCAGGGGAAGCCCCCACTGTAAGATTTTTTTAGTAAAAGGAAAAGAAACTGTACAAGAAACACAAAGCTATACAAGTAAACAGCGAAAAGCTAAAACAATAAGCCTAGGGAGATGTGGGCAATTCATTTATATTCCAACACTCCCCTTCTTGTGGAGGCTCCCTCAGGCCTTAGACGTGGAATAGGAGCGGCAACAATTATATTTTATTTAATTGCACTAACCTGGATTCGAACTCGAGACCTCTGGCTCTGATACCATATTAAGTTGCATGCACCGACCAGTTCAATCCAAAAGCTTAAGCTGATACGGAGAGGTGGGCAATTCACTTATATTCCAACACTAGGAAACTAGGCTAGGGAATTTATACAAAAGAAGAAAGCAGTACGTTTAGCATCGCGGATCCTATGAGCCACCTTGTTCCTCATAGGTTTGTCAAATTTGTCTTTTTCATTGCATGGGAGATTGCTCGTTATGTTGATTTCAGGAGTGATGTTTCAAAGTTGTTTGGGTTCATGGTTTCAAAATAATTGTTCATTGAGGGTAATAAATACTTGCACATTTTCAAAATAGTTCATGTTTATTATTTCAAACTGTTTGTCAAAAGGTATTGCACATTTCCCATCATTTACAGTTTCACTAGAAAAATGTAAAGGATGTAGGGTGATTAGAATAAATAATCATTTAGGTGACTTGGTGAGCATGGCCTTGTCCTGCTGTTCTTACTCAAATTCTGAGCCTTCTTAATCACTAGTCATTATCACAGGATAGTTGGACTCGGACAACTATCTTGAAAGATAGAGGGTCTGCGCATGGATATCTTTGATTCTCCAACTGTGACCTTTCATCGTGCTTCATGTTGATTGTTTACCATCTAGTTTTTTATAATAATATACCAAGCGAAGCTAGATGTCACGATGATTAAACGAAACTTTTACTTGCTCTTGCAACCCTTAAAGATTATGCTGATTTGTCCTTCACTCCAAAAACCATTTGTAGTGACAAGATTTGTGTCAGTGCAGGCACTTACATATGCTGATTGTTCAAGTGCTCCTATCATCCTCCTATTCACCCAGGTAAGGTTATTCTGGTGATAATTACTAGCAGCTCATGTTCTATCAATCCATCATATTTCAGTTCTAACTTTTTAATAAAAGGGTAACACATTGCATGATTTTTTTTTTCTGAAAATGCTTATGCATTAATATAGTCCACAAGGCCCAATTCTGAGCTCTGATGAGATAAATATGGTTCCAATAAAAAAGTTCCAAAAACTTGTGGCATGTAGCTGATTAGACAGGCGGTCACAACCACACTGCCTAGCCAAAGGGGATCTGAGGGAGCTAGTGATGTCGCCTGCAGAGAAACTCAGGGAAGCGCCGCCGTCAGCTGGCGGGGTACTCGAGTGGAAGTCGCCCACCCGTTTGAGCAGCTGCCACACAACCTGCCGCCTAGCACCGCCACTGGCCAATGCCACCCATCCGCTAAGGATAGTCCGTCTCTAACATCAGCTTTAATACCCCTTGCCGGTGAGGAACGCCGACATGAGCACGACAACGGGATCTTGGACGATAGGAGGAATGAGGAAAGGTTCCTGGTTTTTATTTATTTATTTTTATATAAGTGCCTCCGCAATACATGCTCTGCTTATAAGCAAGAGCCGACCCTTACAAGTGGGGTCCCCACACTCACCCATATACCAACTATCAATGAACACATGTCCCCTTAAAATATCCCACACTTAGCTACTGTTCCAGCACTTCACTTCCCTCTAGTTGACGCCGATGGTGTGCCTGCAGCTGCATGTGTAGCATGCATGGCCGGCAGTGAGTGGGATAAAATGACACAATGGAAGAAAGAAGACGCGCACAGTGGGAATGTATCCCAGGTGGATTGATTACTCCTGTTTTATAGCTTAGGGAAAATAGATCACTTACTCCCTTCAATCTTCTGATGTTGGAATGAGATTAACTAATGTGTACTTGTATAGTTGCGAGTGTTGCTTCTCTCTTCTTTTTCTAGAAGGGCTAATAGTGTCTCTGGTTTCATTCCTTTTGCATCCATGTTAGCAATATTCAAGGATAATACAGGAACAAAGTTTTATCCATTGCATATTGCTTATTTTTAATGAGACTACTGCCTAACTTTTGTTTCACCATGAAGATTATCAGATTCTGCCCTGACAATTTTTTTGAGGTTGAAGCCTTTGTCTCCTCTGCATTAGAGTTATTGTCTCGGTATCTTGGTGTGATACTTCAATGGTAATCTTGCTGCACTGTACTTTGTTTCAAACTTTCTTTCTGGATGTGCTTCATTTCAGATTTCCTTGAGGCAATGTAGCTAGTTTCAGAACCAATTGCTGATCTTCTAGTTAGAACCTTTTGTTCCTTAAATGCAATATTGTCATTAAATTCTGTATTTGTGATCACTGCAGTAGGGGTGGGAGTTCTCAGAATCATTCAAATAACACTTTGATTTCTGAGTTGTCTATTGCAAGTGAGACGATGGCTTGTCGGATCAAAGGAGAGGTAGTGATAGGTTATACTTCCCTTGATTATGTCGAGTGCAAATTGGCTTGAACTATATATTTTCATTCCTGGAATCTAATAGCTGGTCTCATGTAGCAGTATTTGTGGAAGCTGATGATATTAGTGGTATCCACTTCACACCAATCATTTCAACGAGTGTCAACTAATTTATGCTTGTCAAATATTATATCCTTCCTCCAAAATATCTTGCCTTTCATGAGGAAATGTTTTAGAGGTACCTTCTGTTTCTTCTCAATTTCCTTGTTATTCTTGGAACAGATTCACCTGTATTGGCCCACTAATATTTATGAAAAACTTTTGCCATTGTCCTTCTAAAATCTGCTGTTTTCTACCCTTGTAAAAGAATGAACCTATCTAGTTTTGTTAGCAACTAGTTGTAGTCCATTCAGTCCCTCCCTTGGTATGAAACATGCATCTTTTTTTTTTCTTAAAAAGTGTGAAAATGGGCGTATCTGTGTTGCCACCCCCAGCCCCCAAAAGCCAAACAATCTGGCAAAAGGTCACTTAGAAAGCTGCAACTACTCTCTAAGCATTTGGAATATGATCCAGTTAGAACAAGTTATCTGTGCTTTACTTATAAAAAATTAATAAAAATAGCAGTATAGTAAAGGGCTATAAAATTGAATTAATCACAATTTACCTATAAGTTAACCCACAGTTGATTTCGGCATGGTGTCTATTCTCCACTTCTAACACATATAGACGAGCAATGAGATGACCTGCATTAATTTATAAGGCTCCACCATTTTTAGTGTTCCTTTTAAGTTGTGTACTCAAGGTTTGATTGGAACAAAACATTCAGTAAAAGGGAATGTTATTTTTGGATGGCCTCTTGACTGCATACAATTGGGTCCATCCATAAGTTGCTGCCCCATCATTACCTAGAACTCCTAATGTCTAGCAAACGTTTAAAGTTGAAGGCTCAAAAGGGACCCATAAAAAAGTACTACCTAGAAAATTGGTGGATAAAAAAATTAGCTCTTATGAACATGAAGCAATAACCGTTCATGAAGAATGATGATGCTTAAAGAATCGGTGCCCCCTTTTTTTGTAGAAAGAGCTGAATCAGATGGTGAGTGCACGAGTCCTAAAGTTGTCTTCGGTGCTATGGTTGGCCTAGTGGGATACTTCTATATAGAGTGTGATAAGAAGATCTCATTGCTCGAAAACAAGATTTCTGATTCCTACAAGCTGTTGACAAAGATACTACTTTTTTGCTTGGGAGAAGCTACTGCTCTTGCAAAACTTGTTCCTGAGATCGTTTATCAAAGTGAAAATGTAAGTAACAATGATGTGCTCCTTTGGGGCAGCTTCAGGCTGTGCGTACAGGTTATTCAGGGTTCACTTCGTAGTACCAACATACAGGTAGATTACTGCTTCAGCTATTATTGGTACCTAGATGTCACTCTTTGCTAGTGGTTAGTTATGAAATTGTTTTCACTAAGCAGATGCGCATGCTGGGTCTGCATGTACTGAGAAGCTATCCACAGGAGGAGCTAACTGAAGGTTCAGAAACAAAGATGGATTCTTTTATGATGTTGCTTACGGAATTGCTGGGAGACTTGTTTTTGGTGATGCAGACTACGCTGAAGGTACTATATAGAATATGTTATGAGATTGTCAAAATTTCTGCAAAATCGGGTGGTATTATCTGACAAAGTTCTTACTCCAGGAATGTTCAAACAAAGAATCTGTCAGTGTCATTGATGAATGTTTGAAACTTCTTTTCCTCTTCCACACACTAGCACAATCAAAGAGATACCAACAAGATGCTACAACTCTTCTGCTGGAGGCCTTGCTGATGATTTTCAATCTGTCCAGTGATACTGTTTCACAGGTAAATTTGATTTGTTTTTTTATCTAATAATACGACAGAAAATCTACTGTTCAGCTTTATTTTGTTGATCATTTTGTACAATATTCTGTTTCAGGAGCTTGCTGAAGTGAACACCATTTCCAGAAAGTTGTTCTCTCATTTTATTCAGATTCCGTCTGTGGCTATACAGATCAAAGATATAATGCTTTCTGCACCACCTGAAAGGAGACTACAGCTTCAGGTATTGTTCCTTACTGTATGTGGATTTTCTTTTTGAATCGAATCTGTATGTGTTGATTGTATGTGCATGTATCAATGGATACTGTTTTGTATTAAGCTTGACTTTCATGATGATCTTAAGAGTTAGTGCCATCCATACTCTGTACATTTGTTGCTGAGCTCGTATATTCATGATTCTACTTCCTTGATGCCCTGAGAGTCAATAATCTTGCATATATGTAGGACATGGTCCGAGCTTCAGTCAGTCAAGGCCAGATAACGGTGCCAGCGGCTATGAGTGCACACTCAGAACAGAATATCCAGGATAGTAGCAGTAAAAACCCTGGGTCCACTGCTGAAGGTTCTGATTGTGTTGCAACTCACGGGAAGAATGAAAATGAAGTTGATGATGACTGGGATGACGACTGGGACACTTTCCAATCTCTTCCTGCAAGTGCAAATGATGGTGTTGATTCTGGAGAAATCTCTCTTACAACTAGATATAATGAACAGACCCCACAGGAAAATAGCAGTCACGGTTCTAGTAGTGTGGATATTACAGCTGGTGCTATGGAAGACATAACTTGTGTAGACAAGGAACTTGAGGAGCCCTCTGATTTGCAATTCTCAAGTACTGAACAACAGGCCAAACATGAATTACCAGGGTCATCCCACGAAGACTGTGATGAACTCGAAAGACATCCATCTGTTGATTGCAAAGAGCAATTAGCTCATAATTAGACAGCAGATGAACTGCCGGAGGTTCATGAAGACATTGATCAAGTAATTGAAGATACCAAAGTTGTCTCTGCAGAAATTCATGGGATTGAAGTGGATGTCCATGATGACATTGTTGAAGATGATTCCCCAATAAATTCAAACAATCTGTCAGATATCACAGAGGATGAGTCCAAGGGTTGGGACAATGCATCGAGGGTTGACGGCAAGTTTGTCACGGATGACCGTAGAGAAGAGCTGTCAGGTTCCTCTGATGCTGACACACCAGATTTTAGTATGTCAGGAAATGTGATGAGCGAGAGCGGAGGAAATGTCCAACTTAGGGGCTGATTGGTTCACGTACTAGTGGAGCCTAGCTCTTATCTGGGAGCCAGGTGTATGTGGGACAGGCTAACCAGGTGTATGTGGGACAGGCTAAGTGGGCCATGTTTGATTGCCGGTATCTACTTAGTCTGGCTTAGTGGCGCGCTAAGAAGAGATGTTATTTGGTTGCATCTATCGAGATATATTGCATTAGATAAAAAGATATAAGGTTACTACCATGATTTTTATTTTGTACAAGTATACTCTTAAAGTTCTTATTTTATCCTATTATTGTTCTGAAGTTTGGGAATGAAGGGAAAGTGGGGGAGAGGGAGAGAGGCTGGTGGGTGGGTGTGGGACGTGCTGACGAGTGGGGTTGGGTGGGTGTATGTGACACCACATTGCTTGCATGTCACAGGTGTCGTGATGTTCGGTTGGACTGTTCGGGCGAACATCGCAGAACCCAGGAAGTGCAGAGAGTGATAAGCAAATTTTTTTGAAAAATATAATTTTTTGGATTCAGATTATGCTTAGATGCTTAGGATAAATGGGTTGGCACGACCGGGTCGTGACACCATCGTGGCGCCGACCACCTCACGGTAGTCTCATTTAACACCACCACCACACTCCTTCCTCTCCCCCGTCAATGCAGGAGCTCATGCTTCCTCTCCCTAGTCATGCAGGAGCTCATGTTCATTCTTGTCATCTTGTCGCACTTAGTTCCCCACTCCCGCAACCGTCCTCGCCTCCCTCGGCAACGATAGGACCATTGTTGTAGCGTAGTAGGGTGAGTGTAGCGCGTGATATGATATATCCTAGCGTGGCAACGTGGGTGTGGCATTGCAACAACGATGCAACATAGGCAGGCATGGGGTAGTAGAGCGGTGCAGCGCTATACGTGGCTACGCTAGTAAGGCGGGTGTTGGAGTTTTTGACCCTAGCAATGGAGATCAGCGTATCACACACAGGGAATTAGATGGTAACACACGAGACACAAATTTATACTAGTTCAGGTACGTGGTACCCTACGTCTAGTTTGGAGTATATTTTATTCTTGTATGCTCGAGTTACGAGGGACTGCTGATGACTAATTGTCTATGCAGTATAACCTGGAATGGTGCACCGTCCCGACGGGGGCTCTCTACCTCTCTTATATAATGTGTGGGGGTAAGGGTTACACGATTCCGATCGGTTTACAAACTTGCGATCCTCCTTCCTTTGGAGCAGCGAGGGCGGTGCACCTCCCCTATTCTTCCTCTGCATGTCTTTCGACTGCGAGAGATGCAAGTGAAAGTTTTGTGAGGTGCTACCTCGTCCTAGCTTTCCATGTTTCCAAGGTGCTGGTTAAATTTTGCTTGTATATGCAAATTCTCCTCAAATTTCTCTTGCACAGGCGCAATCGTGTCCAAGGTGTAGGGCTAGGTCATTGATCGAGTATGGTCTGTGTTGCAAGTCGATAGGTCTTTGTTATTGTACACCTAGTAGTCTTTGGTAGGTCTTTGTTTTTGTACAGCTTGAAAGGATCAAGATGCCCAAGAGGGGGGGTGAATTGGGCTAATTCTAAATTTCTTTACAATAATTAAGTCCTACGGTTAGCCCAATTAACCCCTTGTGCCTAGAAAGTGTTTCTATTGAACTAACGCACAAAAGACTTGCAACCTAAGTTTCAATCCTACTCTAGCATGGCAATTCTATGAATGTAAGAACAAGAATTGAATTGCTCAAAGTAAATGTTCAAAGTAAATGCTCAAAGTAAATAGAGAGGAGAGGAAACACGGCGATGTTTTGCCGAGGTATCGGAGAGTCGCCACTCCCCACTAGTCCTCGTTGGAGCACCCGCGCAAGGGTGTAGCTCCCCCTTGATCCGCGTAAGGATCAAGTGCTCTCTACGGGTTGATTCTTCGACACTCCGTCGCTGTGAATCACCCACAACCGCTCACAACTTGAGTTGGGTCATCCACAAGCTCTCTGGATGATCACCAAGCTCTCAATCACCACCAAGCCGTCTAGGTGATAGCGATCATCAAGAGTAACAAGCACGAACTCTCACTTGACCACGACAAGCCTAATGAGAAGGGTGGATGCACACTTTGCTACTCTTGATCTCACTAATGAGGGCTCTTTTTGGGATTCTCGAATCTCAATTACCTCACTAGGACCTTGCTCTTCTTGGCACTCTCAAACGTGTTTCTCAGCTATTGGAATGAGCAAAAGTACCCCCACACACGAGTGGAGGTTCTATTTATAATATGGGCTGAAAACAAACCGTTATGTGCCTCTACGGGGTGACCGGATGCTCCGGTCATGTTGACCGGACGCTCCGGTCAGTACACCCCGAACTCCAGTGTTTACAGTGTGACCGGACGCTGGCCAGCGTCCGGTCGTGATTTTCCCTCTCTGGAACCTTACTGGAGTCGACCGGACGCTGGCTCTCAGCGTTCGGTCACCACCTCTCAGCGTCCGGTTGCACCGAACGTTTTCACCTTGGTCAAATGAACTGACCGGACTCTGCGCCAGCGTCCGGTCAAACCGGAACCAGCGTCCGGTCAGTATTTGACCCTCCATTCACTTCCAACTCTCGATCATATGTGAATGAAGTTTGCTCCATTAGATCTAAGGGCTATTTTGGAGCTACCTAGTGCTAGTTTTAACAAGTGTGCACCACCCTAGCTCACTAGACTCACCTAGGTCAAGCTACCCGTCCATACCCCCCTTAATAGTACGACCAAAGGAAAAACAAAGTCCTAAACTACTATAAGTGTCTCTCCATGTCCAATCGACACTTAGAACTAGTCCATCCTTAACCTTGTCGTCCATCCTTTAAAAACCGAAACGATTTTCATCGTAGGGGCATGACAACCATGATTGCCCAATCGATCTCTATTACCATGACCTAACTTAATTGCCTCTACAAAACACACGTTAGTCATAGTAATCTTGTATTGTCATTAATCACCGAAACCCAACTAGGGGCCTAGATGCTTTCAATCTCCCCCTTTTTGATGATTGATGACAATACCACCTCGAGTATGCGAAAGAGTTGAGGTTTTTAACATGCTTGGATCATATAAGCTTTTGCCAATAAGAACAAAAAGGTTAGGCAAGCTTATATGAACCAAGCCAACATGATGTACTCAAAAGATATGAATTAAGCATGAGTACAAGTAATAAAGCTCATTTGCATCGGAGTAAAACGCGGAAGCAAAGACAAATGAGCATAACACAAGTGATATGACATATAAATAATTCAAAGTAGAGAGCACACATGTCATATATCACGATCACGTAGATATCACTATCACATAAATATAGTGTAATGCATAAATGTAAACACACGACGAATGCATAATAGTGTATCACACAAGAAAACTCCAAATGTAGTATATAAGCTAATATAAAAACTAAGCTCCCCCTAAATATGTCGCTCCCCCTAAGTCTAGCATACTCGATTCCTCTCCCCCTTTGGCGTCAAACACCAAAACCTAAGGGTCGGTCGGCGGGGCTGCAGCGGACGAGCCGGGCGCTGAGGTACGAGGAGCAAGCTAGAATTGTGTGCCATCATCATCTGATCCTGAGCTCTGAGCTGTATGACCCTCTAATGCTGGAAGCGATGCTAAAGCGGTCTGGGTCAGATCAGGGACTGGAGCTGCTAAAGGCTACGCTGGTACGACTGAAACAGCTGGCTCTGATGATGCCACAGAGGAAGGGAGCGTCTCTGTCGTGCCTGTCACTAGAGCAATGGTGGTAGGGACAGGGATATGTAGATCTGGCGGTGTGGGGTGCCCTGTCAACTCACTGAAGGAAGCACCAAGGCTCCTGGACACTGAGGTCTCTAGCACTAGCAACGAGGACGTCTCAGCCGGTGTGAAGCCTGTACGAAACGGTGTGAACCGCGGGGCTGGCAGTGACGTAGCAAACCACTAGGACACTTGCTCTGTAGGAGAAGCAAACTGTGCTGGTGGCTGTCCCTGACTCTAAGGCCCACTAGGCTGTAACGCTGGAGTCATGGAAGTGGTGGTAGGCTGACCAAGCTAGGGCGAAGGCTGTGACGGTGGAGCTCCAATGGCTGTCACTACATGATGCATAAATCCAAGAAGCTGCTGCTGCATGAGGATCTGCTGCTGATGCATGGCCTACTGCTGTTGCTATAGAGCCTATGTCTACTGATGTATAGCTAGCTGCTGCTGCTAGATCGCCTGCTGCTGCTGCTGGAACTCATCCTGCCGAGTCTGGAATTGAGCAAATGTAGCAGCTATCTCCTGAGCCTGGCGTGCCTGGTCCTGCCTCATCTGCTCAAGTATAGCAAGGAGAGTGGAGTCTGTCTGTGGGGCAGGTGGCGCTGAAATAGAGCTGCCAGCCTCATGATCATGTCGCTGAGGAGGCATCCGAGGGACGGGCTGGTAGTCATCATCAGAACTATCACTGGGGTCGCTCACGACCACTCCCTCCTGCTGCTCAAGCTCCTCCTCCTCAGTAGCTGCAATACCCCTGATGATATCATCCTGCTAGGCTACAGTCTCTGGCACCTCAGGACGTCGGCGCGACTGACTAGGTGCTGTAGGTGTACTATGCCTGATCATCTGTGTCATGTTATAGGTAGGGAACTCTGTGATGGCACCACTGTACTCAGCAAGCATCTCTGGCGGCCTCACTGTGACTGCTCTGTGGATAAGGAATGTGATCCAATGAGCATAGGGTAGCTGCCTGTGACCTCTGAAGCCCTTAGTTGTAGTGTCCTCCATCTCTGACAGAAGAAGATCCCAAATATCAAAGACTGTCTGCTGCATCAGAGAGTTGATAAGCCATAGCTGTATACGAGTCAAGCCCTCTCTGTATCCCATCCTGGGAAGCAGTGCCCTCCTCATAATAGCCTCAAGCACGCGAGCAGTGGGATTGAGGTCACTGGGTTTCCTCCTCGACCCTTCGCCAAAAGGCTCTGTGAAACAGTGATGGACCAAGTCAGTAGGGGGCACATTACCACCATGAGGGCATCTGGGAGGCGCTGTCTATCCATAGCAAACCTCATG